ACATGAAATTTATGCATGTATGCTATGCCATGGTTCACACATAAACAAAAATCTAAAAATTATGACATGAACATACATGACTAGATAATAATCAGAATGACATATACACCATGGATTTCCAATATCAAGTTGTTGAATATATTTACTTTTCAAAACAGAATATCCAGCATATCATATTCAAGAATAGCATACGAATGACATATACATAATTCGAATCCAAATCATGAGAGCAACGTTCACAATCCATGTACAAGCTAGCAGTCACAGAAGGTAATGCCACCAGACACTTACCTTGCGTGCCACAATAAGTTAATCAGACAGCAGCAATAATCAGTCCATGCTCACATAGAGTTGTGCGCACCTAATCAAGTGCATTGCAAGTCAGAATTTTATTCATGTATTCCTGTTATTCGTATGTCAATTCCATGCCTCTCGAATTCTTGTATTTTACTCAGATTAACATGCTTCTTCTACTAATCAATTTCTGACTTCATGCTAATTGATTAATCGGTTAATAGTAATAAAATCCTAAGTCCCCAACATACACCAATTCGGTTTCAAGGTTCCTAGGCTAGATTAAATTTTCTAACTTGACATTACTACACCGGTGTATTAACAGTAACAATCCATGTTCCCTTGTACATGCAGGTTCAGTTTAGGCTGAAGTTAAGTGTTCATAATTAATCTCATTATATAAACATTCTTTCAAGACCTAATGTGTGCTACGATGGCTAATAAGCATTTTGTAAATTTACTTAGACTCATGCAAAACTGAATGTCTCACCAATCAGCCTAACAAAGCTCAAAGGGAAACTATCTCCATACCCCAAAATCGGTCCTTCAATCTAGTCTAAACTAAAGGTTCCAATGCAACAGAGTTAACTATAAGGAGAATGAGAAACATACATTCTCCTAGACTGCACACCAAAACCGAAACATGGGAGAGTGATGAATTTTTTGTTTAGTTTTAGTTTACACATGCTAATTTCATGGCTGGTCAACGTAACAGCCGCAAGGGAAAATTTACAGAAAATTTTACATCTTTTAGTACCCATATAGCAGCCGAACAGTGAGGGGAAAAATGACAGAGCAACAAGTTAAGCTTTCTAAAACCTACATGCAATCTGAAACCATATAAAGGAGAAAAGAAGATTTTCTACTCACTAACCAGTTCTCATGCGCACCAAGGATCCTAATCGAGCAACGGGGCAGCCCTTTCACTTGTCCCACGCTCCTAAAAATTGTTATAGCAACTAGCATGCCTCGGTTTATTGTGTGGTTATGGGGGCAGAAGCAAGGAACATAGATGTCAACAAGATGGTCCTCCTAGATAATACATGCAGGCCGAAGCAAGTAATAAGGGCAGGGTTTGATGGTACCTTCTTGGACTCACACAACCGATGTATGGAAGAGGAGGATTATCCACCCTCCAAAACTCAGATTTGCTACTCCTAGATGGTATGTCTTCGGTTGAGCAAGAAAGGGATAGATAGAATGGAAATTAGATGATGGTTCTGACGCTTGTGTAACTCACGGTTTGTGCGAAAAATGCATAGCTAAGTTCAGTTCCGAGAGAAGAGGATGGATCAGTTTTGTTGGTCTCCAAAGCGCATAGAAATAGGACAAAAGGGATATGAGTTTTTCTTATTCTTTTCTGCAAGGAGGTGGAGGGCTGAGTGTTGAATTGGTGGAGGGTTGTTTATAGCTAATGACATACAGAAAGGAATTTGCTGCACAAAAGTTGTTCCAGCCGAAGCATGAGAAGAAGACTCAAGATGTCTCTTGGTGTGGGTGTCGAGAATGCAATGGAGGAGGGGAGATTTAACTTGACACTTCATCACCATGCATTGGCCGATTTGAATTAAGATACAATTACATAGAATCAGAATTCTTTCTCCTTCCTATGGGCTTGGGCCGTGGCCCTTAAGGTAGCAGGTCCAATTTTTTTTTTCTTTTAACTCCTAAGGAACCTTATTTCATGTAGTTTACTAAGCATTGACTAAGATTTTTATACATTGTAATTAATATTAAATTTACCTAGTTAACAAATGTTTCGAATATCCCAAATATAAACTCACCCATAAGTGTACATAAAATAATTTTCCTAATAGTTATTATTTCATGTATCCATTAGGTAACAACTAAAGTTTCTACATATAATGTGATCAATATTATTAAAATTCATCCCATCATAATTATATGTAAGTGATTTGAATTCAAGACTTGCATTTACCATACTAATGGTAATCTATGGAAGTTCCTCATTTTCACGGGATGTTACACTTGTAATGGTGGGACCCATATATTTTCTCTCTATAACATAAGATAAGATAACTATCTTATGTTAAATGAGATTAATAAAACCCCTAATTTAAATAGGTTAATTGTATTAACCGAAAGGACATAGTGATTTATTGAAAATGGAGTGAAGTATAAGGCTTTGTTTAGGAGTTTGGAGGGAATGAGAAAGATGGGGATTCAAGGGGGAGGGAGGGGAAGGAAGGGAAGGAAATTGAAGGGTATTCCCTTCCCTTGTTTGGGAGTTAAAAAAATGATAAAGGAGGAAAATTGAGGGTTAATGAAATATTTTTACCATTTTACCCTTTTACCCTTTTTTAAAATTAATATAATTATTATGTTTTACAAATTAAATTAAATTTAAATTTCTAACAAAATTATTTATGTACTTTTCACAACACAAAAAAAGATCATATTTTCAATGAAATTTCTACGTTGCAAACGATGAAAATTTCATCACAAAATTATTTTTTTCGTCGGAATACTTTTAGTCGAAGAGCGACGAAATTTTTCAACCGATGAAAATTTTTACAAAAATAAATTTTCTATTGAAATTTTCAACGAAATTTAGTTTCCATCAAAAGTTTTGATGAAAATGATTTCCTCCATCAAATGTTTTAAACGAAAAAAGAATTCTGTCAAAAATTTTGACAGAACATTTTCTGTTCAAAATTTCGATGGAAATGTGTTCTGACAAAATTTTTGACAGAAATTGTTTTGTTAGAAATTTTAAGGGAAATGTTTCATTCGAAACTTTCGACGAATTTTAGATTTTGTAAAGAATTTTGACAGAAGATTTTTTCCGTCAAATTTTTTTATCAAAATATTTTCCGTCAATTTTTTTTACGAAAATATTTTCTCTCAAATTTTTTTGACAGAAATGCGTTCCGTTGAAAATTTTGATGGAAATATTTTTTTATTAAAAAACTTGTCAGAAATTTTTTCCGCCTAGAATTTTCGATGGAAATGTGTTTCGTTAAAAATTTCGACAGAAATTTTTTTTGCCAAAAAGTTTTGCGAAAATGTTTTCATCGAAAACTTTCGGCCGAATTAAAATTCTGCTAAGAATTTTGATGAAATTTTTTTTTGTCAACAATTTTCGATAGAAATGTGTTTCGTTGAAAATTTTGATGGAAATATTTTTTGTCAAAAATTTCGATGAATATGTTTTTTTGTGAAACATTTTGGCAAAATTTAGATTTCGTAAAGAATTTTGACAAAAAAAATTTCCGTCAATTTTTTTTACAGAAATATTTTTTGTCACAAATTTTGATGGAAATATTTTTCGTAAAAATTTTTGACGTAATTTTTTTAGGTCGAAAATTTTCGATGAAAATGTGTTCCGTCAAAATTTTGGACGGAAATATTTTCGTTAAAAAGTTTCGACGAAATTTAGATTCTTTCAATAATTTTGACTGAAATTTTTTTTCCGTACAAAATTTATGTTATTGATTATGGTAAAATCTGGTTCCGTCTCTAATTTCGTTTTTAGTTTTCACGAAAAAATTTTAACGTATATGATTTTCATAAAAAAATTTCATCGTTATTTTTGAGAAAATATTTTTCGTCAATAAATTCTATAAGTATTTGAGACTTTTCTAATAATATCGCATTTAAAAATGAGTCACAATTATGTAGTTTTAACATTTTAATGCTAAGGGGTGGATAAGTAATTTTTAATATTTTTCCCCTCAAACCCTCCAAATTGGGGGAACTGTAATTTTAAAAAAGAAGGAGGGTTTTGGAGGGTTTAGTAAAAATCCCCAAATTCTTTCCCTCCTTTTTTTAAACTCACAAACAAGGAAAAAACTTACTAAAACCTTTTTTTTATTTTTTTCCTTCCCCTCCTAAAACCAACTCCAAGACTAAGGGGTTAATTTATAATTTGGGTTTAGTGAGTATCAAGTGACTTGATGTAAATTAGGTCCAGTGCACTATATTCTCATATAGTGCACAAAATTTTTTGCCTATGTTCTCCCGGGAAAACACCTGCAGAACACCATTGTAATATTTTTGTACTATATTCTCGTGGAAGAATATAATCAAAATTCACTCACTAGACAATCCAGTGCTATGTAGCACCGATACTGACACGGGACACGTGACACGATACGACACGACACTCCGACACGTTAATTCTACAAAATGTTAGATTTAGACACGTTAGGACACGTTTTGAAATTAAATAATGTTTTTAATTTATGTAGTGTATAGTATATTTAATATTCAATAATTTAACAAAAAATGAATTTAAACTTATAGTATTCATAAATTTTGCAAAGAAACATAAGATATTCTAAATATTTATATTAAACTCAATAAAATAGTAATCGTAATCCAACGAATCTAATAGTTGAAACTAAAAACTCAACGCAACACAATCTTTAAACTTTTTTTTGAATTTCTATAACGCGTGTTGGAGTGTCGGAGTGTCCGAGAGTGTCGGGAAGTGTCGAACACGACACGTCAGGATCTTTGAAGTGTCGGTGCTTCATAGATCCAGTAACTGAATTTTGAATTTTTCGTTATAATTTACCCAATTTTGATTTTCAGCATTAGTTTGCCACGTACTCTAGTGATGATAGAAATATCTACGCTCATTTCCCCCTCTCAGCATTAGTATGCCACGTACTCACGTGGTAATAGAAATATCCATACCCAATTTCTCCTCCCGTTCGCTTCCTCCTTCCCTTTTAGTCCACAATGGAACGTGGCCCGAGCTCTTAATCCAAACAAATCTCGAAACGACATAGCGCACGGAATCGAGGGTTTCATTTCTCCTTTGCATATATCCTTACCTGCAATTACAAGCGCCAAAAAAATCACATCAACCTAATGAATCAATCATTTTCCGTTTGAAATTCCCAAACCTCCTACTCGCTCGCAGGTTCCCTTTCTTTCCTCTCTACTCTCTTCCGATTTTTCAGTTATGTCTTGCGCTTCGAGACCATCAAATTTGATGCATGCATCCTTTATTCTTTGGATTTTATTTTTTCGCTAGTTTGATTGATTACTTAGAAAACCGAAGAGCTATAGTGATTTATTATTTCATCTTAAATTTTTGTTTAAAAAATTGAAGCGGTGCCAAATTTCTAGATGAGTTTTTTTTTTTTTTTTTTTTCCCCTTTGTTGTTCTAATAATGAAGCTTGAAATTTGATATACTCATTGTTAATATGGTAGAAACTGGTTCAAGAGAAAGATACTTAATCTTTATTACTGTACTCCCTTCCCAGAACCTGGTTCAGGATCCTAAAGGAAAAGAATGGTAGACAAATACAATAGTGTTGCTCTCCTATTCTCTGGTAACTCCAGGGGTTTGTACAACCCTGGCCTCTATCTCTGCTCCTCTTCCTGCCTTTCGTAGCTAACTAACAAACTAACAGCCACAGTTGATTCCGTTGGAGATTCCCCAACCACCTAACTGACACGCTACTAATTAACTACCAATCATCTTAAGTTTTGGTGACTAGGGTTTTCTAACACACTAGGACCAGCCCCTCCTTGGTTGAAGTGCTTGGAATGAATTTATTCATGAGTTTAATAAGCACTAGAATAAGGCCCTATGCTTTCTGTCTGTTTTGGGATTTGATATTTAATCTTTTCCCTTGTCTTGATTGTTTGATTCACTCACTGAGATTATTTGCATTCTAATCTGACTGTGTTGGTGCTATCACAGGCTTGGCATGATGGACTCAAACTTACAGTCTCCGCCTCATGACAATTCTGATACAAAAAACGCATTTCGCAAGCCTACTGGTGATGCAGCTAATAGGAATTATCGGCGTCGATCACCTGTTGAGGGATCTCCATCACCTGATGGTTGGGATCTTTTAAGCTGTTGGTCTTTTTTCTTTTAGAAGTTACAGTGGTATTCTGGTGAATGATTATAATGTCTAGAGGCTAAGTATATTTAATACCAATATTAGTATTTGAAAATTGAAATTGCTTAATATAAACTGCATTATGTTTTTCATGCATGGTACTTCTTGTGCTGGAAAGTAGATAGGTATTGATGCTGCTTTACCTTTTTTTTAATCCTCTAGAAAATGTGAGAATACGATTTTCTGAAGATGCCCCAATGATAGTTGCTGGAGCTAACCTGGATGATCCTAGGTATACAGCTATGTTTGTCACTGCCGTCAAAGCTAATTTAAGGGAATACTAGATGCAATGTTGGTTCACCATGTTTTCTAATAGCAGTCCCCAATGTATCTGTGAGAAAACTGGTACTTTGTTCTGTGTTCCCTATATAGCATAAGATGGGAACTTGGTTGCAGTTTGGAAAAATTTAAAACACTTACAACTTTTTTAGTGGAAATTATTTTAGAAGTACTTGATTAGTAGTGGTACTTATTCCATTACATATGCATGCCTACGTGGTCAGTGTTTCGGAAAAGATTTTAGTAGGTATGCTATGAATTTTAATTCCATTATGTTTAGTTGGAGTATAGTTTCTTTACTTATTGAGGTAGGGTATGGAGTAAAACACTCAACTATTAAATATTTTTATGGAGTTTTATGATGGAAGAGAGTTTGAAAAGAATTATGAACGGTAGTAGTTTTTCAGTGGTGAATCATTATTTATGGAGGTGAGCTTATGTAAAGAACCTTGGGATACACCACCCCAAAAGCTAGCTCAAAGGGTGGGAGTGTTCAAGACCTTATAAACTCCACATTAGTTGCACATACAACCAATGTGGGACTATATATCTCAACACGCCCCTCACACGAGAGCCTATTGGGCTTGAAGAGTGGACAATGCAACAGGCCCAGTCTACCTGTGCTAAGAAACGTCACAAGAGAAAGTGGGGGGCGGCGAGGCTCTGATACCATGTAAAGAACCTTGTGATACACCACCCCAAAAGCTAGCTCAAAGGGTGGGAGTGCCCAAGACCTTATAAAGGCCACATTAGTTGCACATACAACTAATGTGGGACTATATATCTCAACAGTAGTAGAACATTTTTAAGGGTTTTTTAGTCTATCTTCGTCTCTCTCTGTCACTTTTGCTATCTCTACCTTTAAAAAATGATTTTTTTTGTTATTATTTCTGCCATATATCTATTTTGCTATTTCTGCAACTGTAACCCTCTAGCGTTTTTCGGGGTTGGCCGCGACATGCCGCAATCCGCATTTGATAACTTTGTTATCTTCTAGTCTCATGTTAAGTGGTTTGGAGTTCATATAGGTCAAATGATTTACAGCTCACATATGTTAAATAGCCTTCATTACACATTATGGTATTGATTATTGTTTTTCAAACAGTTGTTTTTTTGGATATGCACTATTATCAGTATCCCCATGCTGCAATCTGCAATTAACTTCTTTGATCCATTACTATGAAAGTGATTTGTATATATTTGGCTCTGGTACTGTGATTCTGATAATGGTGTTACCAAATTTAATGCTTACCTATTCTATACATGAAGTAGTGCTTGAATAAAGAAATATACACTCTTCCATATTTGCAGGCAATCCCAAGCATGAACACAGCTCAAGTCCAAATCCATTAAGGGAAGATTCTGTAAGGGTCTCTCATCGTCATTCGAGGAAGTATGATGGCAGGGAACAAGACCGACAATATAGCAGAAATCACTATGGCAGAAGCAGTGATTCTCTTAGACATTCTGATAGACAGTCATCCAGGAGCTCCTATGGTCATTCTAGGCATGACAAGTATGCAGATGAAGATAGATACCGTGAGAGGCTATCATCTCGTTCTGGACATGAATCTAGGGGTGATCATTCGAGAGAAGAGAGTGATAGCAGGTCAAAAGACTACCAGCGCAGTGTGGACAAGTATTCACGTGACAAATATGACAGGTCAGATTATAGAAGCAAAGAGAAAGATAGAGAATCATATTTGGAACATCATAAATATAAAGACGTGGATGCTTCGTATGACAGATCTGTATCTAGCAAGAGGAACACACCAGATGATGAGCTGGAGAGGGAGAGGCGTACAAGGGACCGGGATGGTCGAGATGAAAGAAGAGATTCCCGCAGAAGTTCTGGAGATTACAGAGGTGACCAACTTATCTCCTATTCGGAGTCAAGGAGCCAGAAAGATGACTCAGGTTCACAACGAGAAAGTGGTAAATATCTAAAAGAAGCTTGTAAGAGTGAACAGAAAGAGCTGAATGGTCAAAACCTTCCATGCGAAGAAAAGAGAAAATATGATGACATTGAGATTGGTAAGGACAAGGACAGGAACACTAGAAAAGTAGGGGAGCAGTTTGGTATTGAAGATAAAGAATCTTCTGGAAAAAAACCAAAGTTTTTTGGTGCTGACAAGGATGACAATTATGGAAAAGATGGTATTGTTTACATATTTTTTTTGCACTAATGCATGGCATGATTTTCACCCTTATAGGTGATACTTGTGTTACTTTGTTATCATGTAATAAAGCAGATGAAAGGCAGACTTCAAGTTCAAAGCTTTCTCAAGAAAACAAGGTAGATTTAGGGGCTGCCAAGACCAGTGGTTTTGATGTTGGAAATGATCTAGATGCTGCAAAAGTTGCGGCCATGAAAGCTGCTGAATTAGGTATACACAACTTTTCCTGAAAATTGGCCTACTATTGGAATATGGGCATAATGTTTTATCGTCTATGATTGGATTGTTATGGGTTGAAAGTTCATGATTTCAATTTTTAACCAATTGCAGAAGGTGGATTGTCTGGAACTATGCCAAGGGCATGGCCATTACTTTCTTTTTTTTGGCACATGTTGAGTCTGATACTAATTTCCAACTCCCCCCCCCCCCCCCAATAAATGGTTTTTTCCCTCATAATTTATGTTTCCAAGTCTTCAACAAAAAAAATTATTTTAATGAAGTATCTGCTAGTTTTGATTCTAATACTTGTAGATCTTTTGCATGCTGTACTCATCTGGAAATTTTGATGCATGACAGTTAATAGGAACTTAGTTGGGGCTGGCTGCTTGACTACTGACCAAAAGAAGAAGCTGTTGTGGGGAAGCAAAAAGAGTACACCTACGGAAGAGGTATCTTAGTTATTACATTTTCACTTTTTTGGCGAAGTTCTTGCTGTTACGTATAATCATGGTATAGAGTACCATGATTCTTGCTGTTACGAGACCCCATAGGCTTCCGTTAATCTCCAAAATTGCAGTTATGGTAAAATCTTGGTTTATTTAATCATTAGGGACTGCTAAGCATGGGAATTCTCTATAATTGGACAATTGAGAGCTTGTTATTCAACAATATGTCGCATAATAAGTGTCTCTCTTATAATTTACGGGAAGTTTATGACTATTCATAGCAATTACCTTGGCACAAAAGAGTTCAACCCAATGCTTAATTTCTGTTCTGGTTGATCGCAGTTTGAATTTGCTACATTGCACTATCTTGAACATTAATTTCTTATATGTAGAGTTGGAAATTCAAGTGTGAGTGATAAAAAGTCCCACATTGGAAAGGAATGGACTAAGTGTAGCACATATAACTGAAAAGACCCTTAAACCAATGCCTTAAAGTTTTCAGTTGAGATGTGGTGCTGGACCCCTTGTTGTGGGTTTGTCGTTTAGGCCCATTTAATTGTGGACAGAGATCTCCCTTGAGCTCCCCCTGGCCATTAGATGATGACGATGGCACTTCCTAGAGAGAAGTTTGAATTTTGGCGGCATGTTGCCGACATGGATTCCACTTGATGATTGATGTTTGGAATCTCCCTCATTGGATTAGAGAGGGAGATTTGTTGGGCTTTTAGCATTAAAAGGCCAAATGGGTTAGCCCAATAAGGAAAAGATAGGGTTCCCACTTGAAGAAAAAATTCACCAGCCGTTTGAGTATGTGTGAGCAACATCTTGGAGTGTGAAGGAGAGGGAAAGACTTCAAGACTTGTTTGAAAGAGAGCCAACAAAAGGCAGCTCGTTTTTTCTGCAAGATTGTGAGGTGGCAACGTTCATTCTTTGATATATCCTTCATTCACCGTCCGATCGAGCTGAAATTTTTTCATCAAGTTTCCAACTCATTGTTATTCATATCCAACGTTGGATTTATAGGTTGGAGAAGAATGGGTCAATCTCTTAGATCGACATGGGTTTGCACAGCCTATAAACCCGAACACCAACCACCATCTCCAAATGCTCGGTACATCCAGATCAATCAACCATTGGCTTTAATACCACTATTGAGCCAGCAGGGGAGCTTATAGCAGGGAGAGTCCGCCATCCATAGGCTAAGTGAACAATGACATTAAGTGGACTTGGATACCACAATTAACCCAAACCTTAAGACATTAGGTGCATGGGTCCTTCCACTTATATGATACCTGCTCAGTACATTCTTAACCAACGTGGGACTTTACCCACTCACACTTGGATTCCTCAACATCTCCCCCTCAAGTATGAGTCCTAGGCCAACATTCTTTTTCCCTCAAGGAGAAGCTTCTTCCAGTATTCATGGGGTTCATCAATACTTGACTTCTCATCAAGTATTGGCTCCATCAAGGCTTGGCTATACTCATCAAGACCTTGACTTCTTACATCTTCAAATCTCGGTTCACCATAGGCCAATAATCCACTATTACCCATCTTTACAAATCCAAAATCATTAGATTTGTAAGATGTAAAGAAATCCTTGCGAGATGTAGCATGAATGGATGCACCATTGAATTATCACCCAGCTGATCTTATGACATAAAAGATTAATTGCATCGCAGTCATAAACAAGGAGAAAGTCTGAAGTAGTAGCAACTCGATCATCGTTACCAACTTACCACCTTCGCCAGTCTTGTTATCTTTCAACTTTCCTTGTTTATTGTCTTTCTTCATTTTCCGTCAACATTTTTTTATATGTCATTTCAAACCACAATAGTGACACTCTCTACATTGGCAAACTTGTTAGGCTTGCTGCTTCCTTTATCTTACTTATCCCTCTTCTTTCTATAACTAGATCATCTGATTAAGAAAATGAAGCTTGTGTCTTTCTTTTCATATCTTTGTTCAAGATACTACTCTTTGCCAAATCCATAGTCATTATACCATCAGGGGCTGAATTAGATAGAGACATTCTAAACGTCTCCCCCTAGTCTGGTAAAGTACTAAGCAACCATAATCCTTGTACTTTATCTTCAAACTTAATTCTCATTCCTGCTAACTGAAGAATAATTCCTTGAAATTTATTTAAGTGATAAATCATGGATGTACCTTCTTTATTATACCTCAACATCGTCATTTGCTTAATCAAGAAGGGTTTGTTATTACCAGTCTTTCTTGCAACGGGTTGTTCAAGCTTATTCCCCCTCCGGTCCAATGAGGGAGATTCCTAGCATCAATCATCAAGTGGAATCCATGCCGGCAACATGCCGCCAAAATTCAAACTTCTCTCTAGAAAGTTCTTTTGTCATCATATTTGAACCATTGTCATCGGTGTGCACTTTCTCAAGCTCCACTTATTTGGCTTCTAGCACATCTTTAATCCAATGATGGCTTACATCAATATGTTTGGATCTTTGATGAAAGGTAGAGTTCTTGGCAAGGTGTATGGCACTTTGGTTATCACAAAGTAAGATATATCTCTTTTGTGAAACCAAGCTCTCTCAAAACTTCTTCATTCATAGCAACTCTTTACAAGCTTCGGTTGCTGCAATACCAGACTTTACCCCGGATCTACCCCCAACCTAGAGTAGCTAGATGGGGCAGTACGGGATATAGAGAAATCAAAGATTTCAGTGCCAGAGAACCGTCATGATTTGATTGAGTTGGATCCACCTTCTACTGCGCAGGTTCCTACTCAGGTTGAGGAAGAACAACATGGTATAGGTGATTTAAATGACACAGTTATACCACCACCTGTGTGAATCATGATATTGTTTATGAGCAGTTCCCTCGACCAGAGATTCTCACATAGATTACTTCAGATGTTCTACCTAGGAGATTTACTAGAGGTTAAGCATCTTACACCAGGTATCCCGTAAGTGAGTATGTTTTGTTGATTGATTCAAGAGAACCAGAATGCTTTAAAGAAGCTATGGAAGATGAGCTTAAAAGTAAGTGGATTGAAGCCATGCAAGAAGAGATGCACTCATTGCATGAGAATTACACCTTTGAGTTGGTAAAGTTGCCCAAGGGCAAGAGAGCTCTGAAAAATAGTGGGTGTATATAGAGTGAAGCAAGATGAAGTTACTTCACAGCCCTGGTATAAAGCAAGATTGGGTTGTTAAAGGGTTCAGTCAGAAACAAGACATTGATTTCAATGAGATTTTTTTTCTAGTTCTGAAAATGACATCCATTCGTGTGGTTCTAGGTTTAGATGCTGGCCTAGACTTAGAAATTAAACAAATGGATGTGAAAACAGCCTTTATCCATGGTAAATTGGAAGAGGAGATTTATATGGATCAGCCTGAAGGTTTCATGGTGAAAGGAAAAGAAGTCTGTTGGGTAGCGGCTATGGGGAGCCCTAATCAGGGAGATCTCTGTCCACACATCAAATGGGCCTAAGAGACAAACCCACATCTAGGGGTCCAACTCCACATCTCAATCCAAAACTTTAAGGCATTGAGTTTATGGATCTTTTCACTTATATGTGCTATGCTTTGCCCATTCCTTTCCCATGTGGGACTTTTTATCACTCACACTTGAACTACTTTTTATCACTCACACTTGAATTCCCAATAATCTTCCTCTCAAGTGAGTTCTACAATTGTCAACTCCCTCTCAAGCAGAAGCTTCTTCGAGTATTAATTGAGTTACCAACCAAGAGTGGGTTAGTTTGTTGGTTAGCAACATGAGTTTGACCACCATCTCCAAATATTAGGTACACTTAGGCCAATCAACCATTGACTCTGATACTAGTTTTGGGCCAGCATAGGAGCTCATGGCGGGGAGGGACCGTCATCCATGGGCTAAGTGAGCAATGATAATAAGTGGGCTTAGACACCACAATCAACTCAAAACCTTAAGGCATTAGGTGCATGAGTCCTTTTATTTATGTGATGCTCACTCAGTTCATTCTTAACCAATGTGGAATTTCATTCACTTACACTTGAATTCCTAACATATAGGCTTGCGCAGTAAGATTATTTTCGCATAATATATCAACATCAACACCATCTTTATTCCAAACTAGTTGTGGTGGCTGTTGATAAACCAAACAAAATAATAAATTAAAAGATTGAAGAAAAAGAAGAAGAAGAAAATATTAAAATATTAAAATAATAATTGTAAATAAAAAAATGAAAAATGAGGGGAAAATAGATAAGAGGAAAAATAACTAAATAAGAAGAAAAAATTAAATTAGAAAGAAAGATAATTAAATAAATTAATGTTGCATAATAAATTATATTTAGGGTTTAACATTTCTGCTTTTGGTACAGAAACTTAAATTTATTCCATTCTTTTGATGCTTTGTAATGTTCCATACTCAATGAGCGCAGGTGTTGCTTATAAAAATTTAAGCCGTCCCATTACATTGACTTGAAAAGTTAACCCTCCTATTTGTTTCATCGTATATATATTGTATATAAATATAAAAAGCTTGTAAATATTGCTTGAAGATGGTACTCAGTTGAGGTAGTATGTAGTTAAGTGGATAGGGTAGGGGGTGTTCTAGATCTATAGTTCTGGATGACCTATGCCTGAGGTTGCTGGATTTGTTATCGTGCTAATGTTCCTGTTATGTGCCATGTGTAATCATGTACATACGCATTTTTTTTTTTGCATTTCCTACAACCTGCTGCTTTATAAATTGCACTTTTCAAATGTTGTTCAGTCTGGCCATCGATGGGATACGGCTATGTTTACCGATCGTGAGCGGCAAGAGAAATTCAACAAACTCATGGTAAGTCTTGACTGAGCTGTTGCTTTATTCTGACCCAATAATAACAAGATTTGAATTCTCTTATGTGGAAAAGTGGTCATGTGGTCATGTTATTTGATCACTACTATTCATTGATGATGAGATAAGAGAAAGAAGGTTGTGATCAAATAACATGACTACATGATCACTTTTTTATATGAGAGGATCCATTCTCATAATTACATCAGAAATAGTTTATTTGCCTGTTCCTGAATGACTGGCTCACACCATTATAATGTCTTCACCTACTAACACTGTTTGAGTCTGAGGTTGTACTCGTGCCTATGGCAAATTGTAGGGTGTGAAAGGTGAAGCCAAAGTGGAGCAGAACTCTGACAACCAAAGTGGCAACGACATTCTCCGTGCAGAAAAGCAGAAGGAACTCCAGCTGGATCTAGAGAAACAGTACACTGCAGGTCTTCGACGAAGAGATGGCCGTACAGTTGGATTAGGTCTTTAAACATAAGTTTGCATCCTTTGACATTTGCGATGTTTTTGAGTAACATTTGTTTGCTTTAGACATGTTTGGGAGTTTATGTATGCTCTGATATCAGGCGCATCATTTCTTGGCAGCTGGTAGAAGTTCCTTGTTAGACAAGGACATGATATTTCTATGGAATTGGGCTTAATCTGTATTTGCTTGATGTTGATATAATTCATATAAAACTTAAATAGGTAAATTGGCGCTTAGAAATTCAATTTGATATTATGCATGTTGGTACCCTAAAAGGTTGGAATGAAATATCTTTAGCACTGAATGATGATCACTTTTGCGTTGCAAGTAGTCCATTGGGATTGTTAATTGTCAAATGTGGGATCCGTAGGTTGATGTAAGTTTATGGTTATTAGTGACTAGATGTGTCATGAGTAAACATTTATTGGTTGGTTATATTTGGTGGTAAAATACATGCATCAAGATGGTCGAAATAGCCTTAGCATTTAGGGACTCTATCTATACAGCAATTAATTAAGCATTGCTAAATATAAGTGGATAACGAAACCATTAGGAATGGATCAATAATGTTATTTTGTATTAGCTACCTCAATCTTCTTGGAAATTGACACACACAAATTGTGGAAAACGAAAGAGAAAGGAAACTGAGAAATTGATATATTGATTTATCTTGGTTTATTCAATGTAGGTTATATTTAGTTTGTCAGTATTATATTTATTTCATCGTCATTAGTTATAAATCATTTGATTTATAAGAAAATATAAATAGGATTTAAAAAATTCTAATAACAATTATTTATGGGTCTAAATTCAAACTAGTAAGTAAAAAAAAATTATAATATGTCAGAGGTCTATAACAATATTAGGCCTTATGGAATTTCAGTTGTCTTTTTGCTGGCATCGTCAATAAACACCTTCATTAATATGTCAAGTGTACGAGTTTCCACAAATTTAACGGAAATAGATTTTCGTAATTCGTGAGCACAAAGAGAGTATTTATAATAGTTCTGGCACACTTATTATTTCCATTGAGGAATTGTCACTTGGAGAAAAAAAATAAAATTTCTCTTTCTTCTATATAAGTAAGTCAAAAAAATTTATTTTTCATTAACTTAGCCCACTGAATCATAAATATATTAAATATTTTTGAGCACAGATAAAATATACTTTATGGACTGCTTGCTATCTCCGGAAACATCACTTCAAAGTTTCTTAGACATCTTATGGTGTCAGATAGATTAATTCGGAAACTCTCTTACGGTTGATTACAGCAACATACGATTAAATTTTATTTTCATCTATTTCTTTCCTTGATATGAATGAATAGAGAGAATGAACATAGACATTAGATATGAGGTATGTTATAAAAAAATTTATAAATATTTATAAAGAGATAGACATGAATACATGGAAATAAAAAGCAAAAATCTGAGGCTGTTTGATTTAAGAAAAATAAATTCTACTTTTGTTTGTTGGTTTCATTTTTGGAAAATGATTTCATCTTGAAATTTTCAAAATTTAGAATAATATGTTTGGTTTGCGTGGTCTTTTTATGTTTTCGAAAATTGAAAACGATGAAAACATGATTGCTTCATCCATTTTTTTTTTAACTGAAAATTTAAAAGTAAGATTTAAATAATGAGAATATATTTGCATATCCAAAAAAAATTATTAACAAATTATTAATAAAATTCATTTCATGGTACCTCTTTTTACCAGAAACTTAAAACGCCGCAAATTGAAATCATGAGATGGATCCTCTGCTTGGCTTAGCGTCAACAGGACTAAAAAAGATTCACATGGAAGGTAAATAAGGGTATAAAAATTTAAAAGTTGTTGATAAAAATAAGAGGAAACTCTTAAATTGGTCTTATCTTTTAAATATTAGATTTTTACTATAATATATATAGAATTCACATTTATTATTTAATTATGGATCTTCGGCTAATTCGTTGATTTCATCCTCATGTGATCTTGTCGAGTCGCTGGCTTTCATACTCAATTAGTTGCTGAAGCGCCAGAGAGAGAAAGCTAGGGATTTGGTATTCGAATAATTGTAATACTATTATTTTGCCTACTTTTGCCTACCTCTCTCGACACCGTTAGATTACAATCTCATTCAATAATAGAGATTTGCGGAATAAAATAAACTCTTTTCCCTTTTTTTTTTTACTCTCGTAGTCTTTCTCTCTCCTTCCTTTTCTCTTTATCATTGTCATAATTTACAACCTTAATTTATATTTGAATCTAAATCCATGCAATGATTAATGGCATGATAGTTTTGCTAGATGAATATAATTTTTAAAATTTCTTGAATATGATATAATTGAACATGCAAGAAATCACAAAAATACAAAAAAAAAACACGAATAATCTCTTCCTTTGAATTAAACCACGATTACCGTAACATCTCTACTTTACCGTTGAAATTTGAAATTGAATCTACTTATCTCCTTATTTTTATCTTGTTTTTCACCTTGAAGTTGGGAAATGATCTCTGTTCTCTCTATGTTATGCCCAACAACAGGTCTACCTGATTCCATAGCATAGGTCATCTGGGTTTGTTCCTTCTTGACACCTTGTTTTAATTTTTTTATGTAAATGTTCATAACAATCAATGATTGGGTTGGATGAATTGAGAGAAAAACTTGCACCTTTTTTTGATGCTGAAGCGCCATTGAAGAGAGAGAAAAGGGAGGAGAGAGAAAGAATGAGAGGCAATAGGAGAGAGAAGGGGATAAAATAGTTTATTTCATATCATAAATCTATATCGTTGGATGAGATTGTAATCTAACGACATTGAAAGGGGTAGGCAAAGGTAGACAAAATAGGGGTAGGCATAATAACTTATTCCTTATTTTTAATTACTAATAAGTTTGATGTATAAAATAAGAGGGAGGATATTCTTACTACTAAAAATTTTACTACTAATTTACTACCCATCTAATCACTATTGGATTAAAGAGAGAAAATGTTAAAAAGTTTTTGAAGAGAGAGTAAAAGTTAATCCAATGGTGATTAGATTGGTAGTAAAAAATTTTGGTAGTGAGAATATCCCTCTTCATAAAATATTAAAAGAGTTAGGATATTCATACTACCACTTTTTTCTATTACCACTTAATCATCGTTGGATCAAACTTTTTAGCAACTTTTCTCTCTCTCTCTTCACCACTTTTGCTGAAAAGTTTAATCCAACAGTGATTACAGTGGTAGTGGATTGGTATAAATATCCTACCTCATAATAGAAATATTTAATTGAAGAGGTTAAAATTAATAATCTTAACCTTACAAATTAGCTACAGGAACATATGACGTGTCTGGTCTTACTTATTTCGTCAAAGGAGTAGTATAATCATTGTATAGAGTTGTATTTTGATTTATTTATTTTTTGTATAACGTATTTTGATTTTCTTTTAATACTATCAATGATATCCAACAAATATGAGCAATTGTATAGTAATGCATATGAAAGACATTTATACATAAATTGTACATTATGAATTTATACTGCAAGAATCTTTTGATGAGTTAACACATGTAAGACATTGTTATTTTAAATTGGTTACAAATTATAAAATTTGGAAACAAAAATTAATATTTTAACTATATAATTAATTCAAAGACTTACTTAATAGAAACAATCATAAAAATAGTAAACATTTTTAATTTATTATTATAGTTGAAATTGGTATTGGGCGTTAGACGTATGTGAAACAATTGTTTAAAGAGAAATTATGTTTTGAGTACATAAGGATACAAATTTTACATTGTAGAGTATAAAATTTAAATGAAATAGTTTCGTTGAAAGAAAGAACAAATCATGCAAATTCTTGAGTGGAATGTTGTTTGCAAAAGAACAAAATTATCTGAATTATGTGGTTTCTCAATTGTCCGTTGCCTACACAGCTGAAGCTTTCTATCAAATCTTGCTTGTTTTGAGTCAGAAGTCGAAGATGCCATTTTAATCTTGGAGGAAGTTGCAATTTGGATGACAGAAAGGAATATTGAATAAATATTGCGTGGGAGATATATTGAAGAGTGAGAATAAGTAGATGAGACACATGATTATTGGTAGTGAGTAATTTTTGGTTAGGATTTTGGATGGAGCAAAATAAGAAAAATGTCTCATTTAAATAAAAAAGAGAAACTAAATATGATAGCTAATCAACCCCCTTAATTAGCACCTCATCACTTCCCAATCATATTGGGTAATTTCATTTCTTTTATCCCATTAATCCTATTGATTGGTTTTCCTAATTTTAACCAATAAATCTAATTAATTAGTTTCCTTAATTTGAGTCAATCAAACTAATTATTTGATTTCCTTAATTTTTTTATTGTCATCAAATCTAATTTCATGACTATAGTTAAATTTAAATTTAAAAATTTAAAATGTAAATTAATTTTATTAAATTGTGTGTGACTAATATAATTTAATTTTTTTTAAAAACTTGATTAAGATGAAAAATTTACACTCTTTAAAAAAATTCAAATCATTGTATAAATTATATGTGACAACTTTTCACAAATGACTCTGAATTATATATATATATATATATATATATATATATATATATATATATATATATATATATATATATATATATATATAATAAGGGAAAAATATTTCTTTAGTAATTGGAGATAAAATTATTTTTAATTAGATCAAAATAACGTCGTTTTGAGTTATAAAATTAAAAAATTATAGATAAAGACTAATATAATCCTGCAATACATTAGAGTTATGAAAATACCTTGATATCCATTCAAAACAATATCATTTTAAACTCACCATAAATAATTTATGTTCATTGACCACCGTAGAGAAATTTTTACTCATATAACAAATAAGTAAGATTAAACTAAATTTTAAAAATTAGATAAGTGGGGAAATTAGTTAACAGCCGCCGCGCTTACTTGAACAACAAACGCAACTACAACAGCGTCGTTTTATACTTTCATTATTGAATTAAATAGTGATATTTTTTATTTATTTTTGAATACAAATAGTGATATTTTCCTCCCCTTCATAAACAGTCATATTTATTTAATCAATCTACCGGCGTCTCTCGCAGGATTGGACCCCATATATGCTCCTTAATCTTATTCCTATTCTTCTTCCTTCATCTCTTATTTATTTTTATTTGGTGAAAATATTCTTCAGTTTATTCTCTTTTCGCATCGCATTCCTCCGTTTCGTTCCCGCGATTCTCTTAGGTTCCGGTCCGGTAATGTCCACCCACGATTCCTTCTCGGATCACAAGCTCTGCGGTTTCCTCTGTGCGGTTCTCACAGTTACTCAGCCGCAGCGCGAGAATACCTCAGGTTTCAATGAACGCTGCGAAATCTACGGCGAGGGCGCTGCTGAGGTCGGGTTCCGGTCCCTGGGCGGCGTCGTTTTGGGTACGGTAGAATGTGGGAGCTCGAAGGTGAGGAGGATGAAGAAGATTGGGATGGTGAATGGGAGTGTGAGCGTTGTTCATCAGCTTCACGCTTTGGTTAGCCGCAATTGCATGAAGATTGATGCTCGAGTGGTGTTGGTTGAGCCTGATGTGGCTAGGATGGTTGTGCTGGTTGATGTTTATGTCCCAATTCAGTTGTGGAGTGGCTGGCAGTTCCCGAAATCGGGTTCCGTCGCCGGTGCTGTTTTTCGCCATTTGAGGTTCGCTTCCGTCACTGTTATCTTTTACTTTAGATTTTGATGCTCATTGAAAATCTCATGCTACGATTTATATAGTGTATCCTCTCAAGTTTTATTTAACATTACGTAGTTATGTATGTGGGAGCATCCTAATTATTCATGAGCAAATTAATAATGATGAGAGATGAGAGAGAAAGAATATGGGGATAAGGAGTGACCAAATTATCACCATTGATTTTGATGCCCATTGAAAATCTCATGCTGTGAGAGAGAGAAAAATAGAAAAACAAATTTAATGAATTCTACATGGATAAGGGAGTCCATCCACTTATCTTTTATTTAATATGATCATGTCACGCGGAAAGTTCCTAATCATATATACGTGCAAATCAATGATGACGAGAGAGATGAGAGAAAAACAATATGGGGATAGAGAGTGACAAAATCATCACTGTTGATTTGTTCATGAATGGTTAGGATCGTCATGTTAAGATTCATTTCCCATAGATAATGATTGATCCTAATTGACATCTATAGTCCTCCACAAGGGTTGGGAACTCATTGCTACGTTTACTTAAATTATAACATATGAATTATTCTTATGTGTAGTGTGGAAACCAATAAATCTCAAGTCCATGTGTTATAATTTAAGTGGGTGTAGCATTAGAGTTCGCAATACTACAAGAGGACCGATGGTTTTCTCCACAAGCATTGTTGCTGAACACGCAAAGATTAGTCTAGGAACCATCTACTATCAATTGCGATTATCAAAATAATAAAATATTCAATAACTGTCATTAGGAATTCTAAACACCCTTTTATATGGTGTTGAGGAACCCTTATATGCAACTAAATAAAAAACAAAAAATTATGAAAATATGACTGAAATTAAAATAGAAAACCTAAATATCCAAAAATAACTCATGCAGGATGCATGCACATATTCGATTCCAAGGCAACTCTAGGTGCATCAAGCATAGTTACCTTTGTAAATAGAGTAAAAACCATAACGGTTAGTGATGAACTGTGTATTGTTATACTAGTAACCCATAGCAGAAAGTGTCGTGAGCCTGGTAACTTTGGTCACGTGGCATATGCGGAGTGGTGCAGTGTAAGTTACATACAGTGTAGCTAAGAATATGTTGATGCTTCTGATGTTGGTTTAATTGTAGGTATGGGTAGTGCAATTTGTCTTTGTTTTATTCCTGATTGCTTATTGGATTAGATGAATAGTATATTGTCACAGGGTGCCTATGAGGAGAATAAGTTGAAATTTTAAAGGAAAGAAATTGTGGGCCTGTGGCTATAAATGATGATTGGTGTTGTTTTATAAGTCAATTAACTTATCCTATGGATGTGTTTCATTGTTATTTATTTTTCATTGGGGGATAGAGAGTGACAAAATCATCACTGTTGATTTGTTCATGAATGGTTAGGATCGTCATGTTAAGATTCATTTCCCATAGATAATGATTGATCCTAATTGACATCTATAGTCCTCCACAAGGGTTGGGAACTCATTGCTACGTTTACTTAAATTATAACATATGAATTATTCTTATGTGTAGTGTGGAAACCAATAAATCTCAAGTCCATGTGTTATAATTTAAGTGGGTGTAGCATTAGAGTTCGCAATACTACAAGAGGACCGATGGTTTTCTCCACAAGCATTGTTGCTGAACACGCAAAGATTAGTCTAGGAACCATCTACTATCAATTGCGATTATCAAAATAATAAAATATTCAATAACTGTCATTAGGAATTCTAAACACCCTTTTATATGGTGTTGAGGAACCCTTATATGCAACTAAATAAAAAACAAAAAATTATGAAAATATGACTGAAATTAAAATAGAAAACCTAAATATCCAAAAATAACTCATGCAGGATGCATGCACATATTCGATTCCAAGGCAACTCTAGGTGCATCAAGCATAGTTACCATTGTAAATAGAGTAAAAACCATAACGGTTAGTGATGAACTGTGTATTGTTATACTAGTAACCCATAGCAGAAAGTGTCGTGAGCCTGGTAACTTTGGTCACGTGGCATATGCGGAGTGGTGCAGTGTAAGTTACATACAGTGTAGCTAAGAATATGTTGATGCTTCTGATGTTGGTTTAATTGTAGGTATGGGTAGTGCAATTTGTCTTTGTTTTATTCCTGATTGCTTATTGGATTAGATGAATAGTATATTGTCACAGGGTGCCTATGAGGAGAATAAGTTGAAATTTTAAAGGAAAGAAATTGTGGGCCTGTGGCTATAAATGATGATTGGTGTTGTTTTATAAGTCAATTAACTTATCCTATGGATGTGTTTCATTGTTATTTATTTTTCATTGGGGGATAGAGAGTGACAAAATCATCACTGTTGATTTGTTCATGAATGGTTAGGATCGTCATGTTAAGATTCATTTCCCATAGATAATGATTGATCCTAATTGACATCTATAGTCCTCCACAAGGGTTGGGAACTCATTGCTACGTTTACTTAAATTATAACATATGAATTATTCTTATGTGTAGTGTGGAAACCAATAAATCTCAAGTCCATGTGTTATAATTTAAGTGGGTGTAGCATTAGAGTTCGCAATACTACAAGAGGACCGATGGTTTTCTCCACAAGCATTGTTGCTGAACACGCAAAGATTAGTCTAGGAACCATCTACTATCAATTGCGATTATCAAAATAATAAAATATTCAATAACTGTCATTAGGAATTCTAAACACCCTTTTATATGGTGTTGAGGAACCCTTATATGCAACTAAATAAAAAACAAAAAATTATGAAAATATGACTGAAATTAAAATAGAAAACCTAAATATCCAAAAATAACTCATGCAGGATGCATGCACATATTCGATTCCAAGGCAACTCTAGGTGCATCAAGCATAGTTACCATTGTAAATAGAGTAAAAACCATAACGGTTAGTGATGAACTGTGTATTGTTATACTAGTAACCCATAGCAGAAAGTGTCGTGAGCCTGGTAACTTTGGTCACGTGGCATATGCGGAGTGGTGCAGTGTAAGTTACATACAGTGTAGCTAAGAATATGTTGATGCTTCTGATGTTGGTTTAATTGTAGGTATGGGTAGTGCAATTTGTCTTTGTTTTATTCCTGATTGCTTATTGGATTAGATGAATAGTATATTGTCACAGGGTGCCTATGAGGAGAATAAGTTGAAATTTTAAAGGAAAGAAATTGTGGGCCTGTGGCTATAAATGATGATTGGTGTTGTTTTATAAGTCAATTAACTTATCCTATGGATGTGTTTCATTGTTATTTATTTTTCATTGGGCGATATGATTAAGATTTTAATGACAGGGCAAATCAGGAAATGTTTTTTTTTGTGTGTCACTTATGTTTTATGTTTTAATGCCTCTGGAGAGTAGGTAGTCTTCATGGTGTCATGCTGCTCATGCATCTGTGATATTCAGAAAGCTATATTAACCATTTGGTAACAATCCGCAAGGAGTATGGCCAAACTAGGATTTTATGGAAGTTATTTTCATTTTATCTCTGATATTAAATTTGAAGTTTAAATGATTTGTTGGGATTCCGGGGGTAATGAGTTTTTGGCATATTAATTTTGAGATTTGTAGGTTTTTATTTATTTATTTATTTTTGATTTCCCGTATTGTCTTGAGACTTACATGTCAGATTTGTTTTTACACCATATCATATGGTTTTGATGGTCAAAGCATGAAACCTCAAACATAATTAATCCAATAAACTAATTGGGCTAAAAGGTCGTATGTTGGACTTGGGTCAACTGCAGATCGGCCATGATATGACCATATTGTTGTAATCTGAAGTGTAATGCGTAAAGATTATATATTGACAAGTTTACTGAGTTTATGTATGCTGATTTTCATGATATCAATTTTGTAGTCAAAGCTTTGGATGGAAGTTTCAAAAGTTTATGTATTTTACGAACCTGAAATTTGAATCTTAGGGAGTTTCACATTTACAAAATTAATCAATCAAAGTTAATATCTCTAATTTGGTCAAACTAGTGGTGCCCTGCCCTAGCTAGTCGCTCTCGAGTTATATTCTCACAAGTATTTTGTAATAATTTAAATCGACTGCTCTATTGCCTCTGTTTTTCTTCAATATTTATGTAATCTTGTCTGTCTTAGTTTTCTAACATCAAAAGGTCTATGCAGCTGTGATTGGGATGAGAGATGTTCAATGCTTTCTTGTCCAGACTATTGTAGGAAGACTCGCGTAGCAAATGAGAGCATTTGGGACCTTTCTGATTGTCATGTACTTGGTTGCAAGCTCCATTCCTGTGTGAGTGATTCTTCAAGGGAAAAGCTATTTGAACTTCATGAAATTTTTAAAACGGTACCTGGTGTAGGAAAACAGCAGAAGTTTAATAGTTCCAAGATAATACCTATGGATAACACTTGCAGATCTGGGATTTGGGAGATATCTGATGATATTTTAACTACAATTCTAGCTTTCTTGGGCCCAATGGACCTTGCTAGGGTTTCTGCAACATGTCATCATCTAAGATCCTTGGCTGCTTCAGTAATGCCTTGTACTAAGTTAAAGCTGTTTCCTCATCAGCAGGCAGCAGTTGAGTGGATGTTGCATCGTGAGCGAAATGCTGAAATTTTGCCACATCCTTTATATGTATCTCTCTCAACTGATGATGGCTTTAGTTTCCACATAAATACTGTATCTGGTAAAATAGTCACTGGGGAAGCTCCCACCATCAAAGATTTTCGTGGAGGAATGTTTTGTGATGAACCTGGCTTGGGTAAGACTGTAACAGCTCTTACTCTTATTGTGAAGACGCAAGGTACATTGCCAGATCCACCAGATGAGGCACAAGTAGTCTGGTGTCAACATAATGGTAACCATAAATGTGGCTATTATGAGATCAGTGGAAATAACATCTCTGGTTGTAGTATTTTGGGTAAGAGGGATGTGTGCCAAGATGGTAGTAGAAATAATGCGAACGATGATTACTCCTCCAAAAGAATCAGATTGGTGGATCCTGATCAGCAAATCACTAAACTTCATGGTTCATGTTCTGGGAAAGAAAAATCACCTGTCGATGCATGCTTTAAGGAATCTATGCCTGCAAATCGGTGCACTAGAAGCTTGAGTCGCATAAAGAGAAATCTACATTTCTCATATGAAGAAGAAGCTATGATTTTCAAAAAAAGAAAAGTTGGTGAAAGATCAATTAAAACAAAGCACACATCAGATGTTGCATCACATGTATCTCAAAACAAGCTAGTTGATACTTCAGATGGATGTGGACAAAGTTACAAGTGTCCTGGGAAGCCTAAAGATGACTGTTTGGAGTACCGTGATACATGGATTCAGTGTGATGCATGTCACAAGTGGCGTAAGCTTGCAGACAATAGCACGGCTAATTCTAGTGCGGCATGGTTTTGTAGTATGAACGCTGACCCTTTTTATCAAAGTTGTAATGTCCCAGAACAAAATTTTCAGAATAGCTGTAAGATAACTTACTTGCCAGGATTTCACTTGAAAGGAACTCCTGGGGGTGAGAAAGAAAATGTTTCATTTTTCACTAGTGTACTTAAGGAGCACTACTCATTGATAAATTCTCAGACAAAGAAGGCCCTGACTTGGTTGGCTAAAATTTCGACGGACAAGCTTGCAGGAATGGAAACAAATGGCATACAGGGTCCTATTTTAAACATTTGCACTAATGGATATTTTAATGCATTCCACAAAATATTTCAAGCATTTGGCCTTTTAAAGAAAGTAGAGAAAGGTGTATGCAGGTGGTACTACCCACAAAATCTTAACAATTTGACTTTTGATGTGGCTGCCCTTGGCTTGGCTCTTTGTGAGCCATTAGATTTTGTTAGGTTATACTTGTCAAGAGCAACCCTGGTAGTTGTTCCAGCAAACTTGGTTGATCATTGGAAAACACAAATAGAAAAGCATGTCAGACCTGGTCAATTACGGGTTTATGTTTGGACTGATCATCGGAAGCCATCTGCACACTGTCTCGCTTGGGATTATGATGTTGTCATCACTACATTTAGTCGTTTGAGTGCAGAGTGGAGCCCACATAAGAGGAGTGTTTTGATGCAAGTGCATTGGTTTAGGATAATTTTAGATGAAGGGCACACTCTTGGCTCAAGCCTGAATTTAACAAACAAGTTGCAAATGGCTATTTCATTGATGGCTTCGAATCGATGGATACTAACTGGAACTCCAACACCTAACACTCCTAACAGCCAACTTCCACATCTACAACCATTGCTAAGGTTCCTTCATGAGGAAGCTTATGGACTGAATCAAAAATCATGGGAAGCTGGCATGCTTAGGCCATTTGAAGCAGAGATGGAGGAAGGAAGATCTCGTCTATTGAATTTACTTCACAAATGTACAATTAGTGCAAGAAAAATAGATTTGCAGAGCATTCCACCGTGCATCAAGAAAGTTGTTTTTGTAGACTTCAATGAGGAGCACGCTAGAAGCTACAATGAATTAGTTCTCACTGTCCGTCGTAATATATTGATGGCTGATTGGAATGATCCTTCACATGTTGAGAGTCTACTGAATCCAAAACAGTGGAAATTTCGTGGTGCAACAACAAAAAATGTCAGGCTTTCATGTTGTGTTGCTGGACATATTAAAGTTACACATGCTGGAGAAGATATTCAAGAAACAATGGATATGTTAGTACAAAATGGTCTAGATCCTACTTCAGGAGAGTATACCTCCATAAGATATAATCTCCTATATGGTGGTTACTGTGTCAGGTAATATTTGGGCTTTGATCCTTTTGTGGCTTTAATTTTCTTCAAGTCATAGCTGCTTATCCTATTTTTTTTAATAAATAAATTGTGAAGGTGTAAGGAATGGTGCCGCCTTCCTCTCATTACACCATGTCGGCATCTGTTGTGCCTTGATTGTATTTCTATAGATAATACAAAGTGTACTTATCCTGGCTGCGGTAAATTATATGAGATGGAGAGTCCTCTTGCCCGACCAGAAAATCCTAACCCAAAGTGGCCTGTACCCAAAGATCTTATTGAGCTGCAACCTTCATATAAGCAGGCAGGGTTTTTAATGAGAACTCAGTTGGCATTCACTTGCATTCCTTTTTTTTTTTTTCTCTCTTGGCTAACAATCCTAAACATGCAATGATGATTGTTGAATGCACAGGATAAGTGGGATCCTGATTGGCAATCAACATCTAGTAGTAAAGTGTCCTATCTTGTCCAGAGGTTGAAAGCTTTGCAAGAATCCAACGAAGAGACGAGTTTCTATAGAGACAATAGCAATGATGAGATGCATAACGATAATAGTTTCCCTTTGCATATGAGAGATGCCAAATCATCATTCCAAGAATGTTCTATAAGAAGCACTGAATCCAATTTGAACCCTGAGAAAGTTCTGATATTTTCTCAATTTCTTGAGCATATAAATGTCATTGAACAGCAGGTGCTTTTTCTGTGCCACATTTTTGGGTGTGGTCTTTCGTGAATCCTTTCTATTTTTTATTTTTTTTAGCCATCTGCGAATCCTTTGGAAAATGATCAAACCATTAAATTGGATTTCTCTTTTGCCAGTTGGCTATTGCTGGTATCAAATATACTGGGATGTATAGCCCAATGCATTCCTGCAACAAGGTATAATGTTGGAAGTCCCATTTACTATTTTTGAAAATTTAAATTTACTTTTGGTTTCTGACTTTTGGTTTATTTGCTTTTCCCTTTTCCAGAAGAAGTCATTAGCCATGTTCCAGCATGATTCAAGTTGTATGGCACTTGTCATGGATGGAAGTGCTGCATTGGGTCTTGACTTGAGTTTTGTCACGCGTGTATTTTTAATGGAGCCAATTTGGGACAGAAGGTTAACGCATTAAACCAATCCATGGGTTATAAATTAAATCTTATTGCTTTTAAGGCTGAGGGGTAGATTGATTTTGATAATCTTAATTTTTTTCATTTTTAAAATTTTCTTGTTCAGTTGTAATCCTTGTAGAATTTTCTGCATTCTTGGCATAGAAAATATAAGTTTTTGGCATTCAGAATTTTGTAGCAATGGAAGCCTAATATGCATCATCTGTCAATACTGATGGTGTTGTTCAATAAAGTGATTTGCAAAAGATCTTCTATTTGCCCGATTTGCTGGATCCTTCTACATTGACTGAAATTGCCACTTTTTTCCAATTTAATTATCTTCTGACTTGGCTTAAACCTTGTCAGTATGGAGGAGCAAGTAATTAGTCGTGCCCATCGCATGGGTGCTTCGCGTCCCATCCACGTGGAAACATTAGCAATGCGCGGCACAATTGAAGAGCAAATGCTAGAATTTTTACAGGTGAATCCCTATAACTTGAACGTTATTACACCATCCTAAATGAGTTTAACAGATGATGACCTGTTTCCCGGAATGTTGTGATTTTGTTTTGTTTTTGCAATTAGTCATGCTTCAATTTCTTTATGTTTAAACAGGATGCTGATAAATGTAGAAGATTTCCAAGTAAAGATGTTGCCAAATCTGAAGATGATGGTGGAGGACGAGGATATCGATCATTGCATGATTTTGCTGAAAGCAGTTATCTACTGAAACTTAGATTTGTTTATACTAATTTGGAAACTCTCGAAGGTTTGTGCATAGCAGTTTTTCCCTAGCTCTGTTTTTTTTTTTTTTTTTGTGGAAACATAAATTTGAAGGAAAGTCAAATTACGTCTTATTTGGGAGATTAAATACAAATAGTTTTTATTGACTTTTACCTTAAAACTTCTTATGTGGAATTTTGGCCAAAATTAAAAACTAGAGAGGTTGAGTTCGGAAGTGATAAAGGTGATGAAATTCTACTATGATTTCTCTGTCATTGCTCGTAAGTAATTGTCAAATCAGTTAGTGGACTTTGGTTAAATGAAATATTGTATGTCAAACCAGTGGAAGCCCTTGCGGAAGCTTGTGGCATGCCCCGACCTTTGAGTATGATACTTTGTCCCCTCTCAACTTTTCCTTACCAAATTGTATGTTAGTTTTAAACTTGATTTAAGATAGGTACTTTGTACTTAAATGAGTACTTATTTTTTTCCTAATACCTTTTTGCATTGTTAAAGTTTTAAGTTATTATTTTATTTTTTTCTTTTACATCAGGCGTTTGATTGATCAACATAAAGTACAGACTGATTTGCTTTAAGCAAGTCTTATGGATATCCTTCAAGCAGTTTGAATGCCCTTGATTATGATTTTTGTTCTTGGATGTATACAAGTGCTCATCTAATGTAGCTGAGAGATTGATCGATTTGCATTTGAGGGTGGAAGCTAATTTTTTGTATAGCATTATGGAGCTATTTGCAGCATCACTTCGGTCTGCCAATGCTTACTGAAATAGTGCAAGGGTCCCTGAATATATCTTTTTTGTAAAGGATTAATCAAGTTAATTTGTGGTGACCCCCCAAAACAAATGTTGATACTATGCTTAAGTTTTCTACTTAAGACAACGTTAATTTCATTCTATGCAGCTAACTTGTAATATTGTTCCAGTCAGCATCACAACCACTGGATGCTTTATCCAAAGAGGTTTAATTACTCTTTAGTTTATTTGGTTATATTGCCGATTTAGTTTAAATAGGTTGAAATTGTGGCTGGAAAATATAAAACGGGATAATAGATAGAAGTATAAATATACAAGTGAAAAATAATAGGCTTAAAATCTTATAATATTATTCAGTGAAAGGTTCCAAAGCTTTAACTCTTAAAAGTTGAGAATAACAATATATTTTTATTTTATTTTTATATATTCACCGGTTGATCGTTATTGGTTTTTTAATTAGGCTGATTTGATCACTGTTGAATCTATTATAGAATCTATTATAGGGGATAATTCTTCCAAAATCATTTTCTTCATTGTCGGATCACTAGTTAAAGGGAATAAGTTTTTTTATCATTTGAACCAATAATTATTGGTAGATAACAATTTTATTTCTTTAACATTATACATAATTTTATTTTAATTTTTTATTTATATAGAAACAATATTAATTTTTAAAAAAATTATATTTGCAAGATTATGAAGAGAATAACAATTACCTTGATCATTAAAAAATAGAAAAATTGTGATGCCGTAATATTTAATTAGTTTTTTAAATCAAATATTTATGGTTAGTTTTTTTTTACTTAGTAGATAAATATTTATTGCATGTTTAAATTAATTCATTTTGCTTTACGAAAATTTTATAGTCAAAATATTTCAAAGATTATATTGGGTTAAAGTGCTAAATATACTTGAAATTTCATAAAGCATGGCAGGGGTATTCATATCTTAAATTTGATAAGTATATAATTTGATTTTGTCTTATTTGTTTGTAATAATATTTGGATTTATTTGTTAACATTGCATATATAATTTAAGGGAAAAGTGTTTGTCATTTTAAATGACATAAACTTACGTCATTTTAAGAGAGAGATAGACACATAATTTTATTTTTTTATTTAAAATTTAAATTAAAAAAAATCACCCACTTTCTCTCTCCCATAATTTTCATTCCCTGTGTTTATCTCTCTCCTAAAATGACATAACTTATGTCATTTAAAATGACAAACATCAAACCCTTTAATTTAAATTTAAAATTTCACTATTTGTTTTGATAAGTCAATTGAATTCTTTTAATTATATTTGTTATTCTTTATTTTATTTTTTCAATTTTCACAAAATAATTATCTAACTCAATCTCAATTACATTTGGTAACTTTTCCTTGAAAATATAGTATACTCACTGTTTAGATACAAATAAAGATATGAATGAAAGGAATTTTATACGACTACTTTAATGCATTATTCAAAGTTTTAAAAACAAATCACAGATATTTGGAGTAGTCCAAGTTCATCAAGTTCACACGGATGAACGAACATAAACCCACCTTCACAAACCAAGCTAAATATTCTGTCGTTGGATATGGCAATACCTTCTCCATATGGCCATACTTGTTGAAAATTTATAAATTAGAACTAAAAGCGAAAAATTTTCATTAACTGATGGAACATCCAATGGTACCATTAATCACTTCAGATTATATATATATATATATATATATATATATATATATATATATATATACTTCATTCAAAACATAATTTACCACAAGCCATATGTACTTTATGAATCTCTTTCGTAAACAAATCCACCCATCATTAACTTGCTATTTTTATGATTTAGCTCATTACAAATTCGCAAATTTAACATTTCTCAGTTAAAAACAAACAATATAAACAAAGTACCAGGACTCAGGTACCCATCATCTTCCAGCGTCAATGAACATTTACTTAATTAGAACTAGTATTCGAATTTTAGGTCATCATCCACGTTTACAAATATTTGAACAGACAAAATCTATACTCTAGCAACCTCCCCTAAAGGATGGTAACTCAGGGGAATGGCCAGAATGGGCGACAAAACTTGCCATAATATTGGCACTACCATGTTCCATATAGTAATATGTTAACAGATGTAACAAAACAAAGGTAGGATCAACACAAATCTTGATAGAGCATCCAAAAATAAGAGGGGAAGGAACAAAAATGTAAATAAATAACAAGATGCTAGGCTACCTATGATACATCAGAAGAGATCATGTGGCCTTGCAGCCAGGCAAAGCTTACTTGTGCCTTCAACCCAAGACCAAGCAAAGATCTAAGACGACGAATCAAATGCCATTTACATCGCGTAAAAAGGTCATCATCGACGTCCTCCTCTTCTGCCACCCCCGTGTTTCCCTCTCCCTTGACCACGAAACACTGGTCTTTGTGGCTTAAGCCCCAAGGATTGAACTCCCCTCCTTTTTTGGGGTTGAACATCTTTATCTTCCCTGTCTTCCTTGTACCTGGCTGAGTTTCTTGAGGTGAAAGTGATTTCCCGTGATCCTCCTGGACCCTGCTTAACACCATCTGGAATAAAAGATGATCGGCGGTCGTCTTTGTTGAGTGCTGCCACTCTATCTCCCATAGGAAGTGAGTCCTCCCCTGCAAGTGACTTTTGGCTCCAAAATGCCTCTGCATGCTGCTCATTCCTAATTTCATACATTCTGCAATTTGTGTGAAAAGATTCAGTAATAAAGAATCAAAAGATATAAAACAATATTAAAGAACTCCATATTTCATAAACATGGAGCCAATATTCCACAAAATCTCACACATAAAGAAAACAAGTCATTGATTATTGAAATGGAGTCAGCCTATTTATCTCCCATACACGGAAAGACATTTGAAAATTCATAACAGATTCTCACTTTGGAATCCGAATTTTCTCTTTCACTTTATTTGCAGGTTCATCTTCCGATGATGCTGATGCATCAGAGTCACGTAGATCTTGATCATCATCCGACATGACAGGCTCAAAATGTTCCTCTAGCAGGGATGTTTGCTTCTTAGAACCCATGGGATGTAAAGCCAGATATTCTTGCGAGGACTCTTTAATCTCAAAATTCTGAAACCAAAAAAGAAGTAATAATTGTCACATAGAGATATATGTCTCATTTAAAGACAAAGCAGTCATAAACAAAAAACCTACACAGATATGCCAAATTTCCCTTCATATCATACCTATATTTTTAAGGTGGAGTTGAATTTGAAATTTACATTGTCAGACTTCTTTTAAGCATAAATTTACAGAGAGAATCCATAATTAACTTAAAAATGATATGCTCAACTGAGAAAAAATAAATAAATCAGTACAAACATGATATATTATATCCCAAAATTTCAAAACATCACTAATCAGGACAAATAAGGGCAAATGCCATAGCACAAAGCCTCTTTGACTTTGCAAGGGTAGGGGTGTTTGTACACAGTTTTACTCTTACATTTTGCAAAGAGGTTGTTTCTTAGATTGGAATCCGTGACCTTTCGGTCACAAAAGAGCAACCTTACCCATGCTCCAAGGTTCGCCATAATTAATCAGGACGAATATGGCCCTTAAATCCAAATCAGTCTCTGGAGGACAGCAGAAAGCTATACTGTTTAAATGTAGCCAGTTAGTGAAATCGGGAAGTACCTTGAAATTTTACTTGTTCGGGAGAGAAGATAAAGTCATTAAAAAGACTTAAATTCGGGAAGTAGCTTGAAACTTTACAAGTTAGGGAGAGAGGATAAAGTCATTAAAAAGACTGGCATATTTTAGATAATAGTACCTCGTTTGTAAATATCGCTTTAAATCGCTCATCTTGAAGATCTTGCATATTAATCCCTTTCTTTTTCTTGGATGCCTTTTTAGTTTCATCATCATCTGCATCTCTCTTCTCATTTTCAGCTTCTTCACTTTCAAGGAGGCGAGCTGCAAGGGCCCGATTAACTTTAGGTAATTTTTTCCTAATCTGCAAGGAAAATGATTGAGGCATGGCCAAGGATTAATATTCCAGTCAAAACCATTTAATCACCTTAGCTATGTAAAATATGAAAATAAAACAAAATTGATCAGGAAAAGAATCGACCGTGATTCGTGAGGCGCGTTCAGATTCCATTTTTTCTCGTTTCTGCTGTTCGATATAAGCTTCATATTCAAAAGGATCTGTCAGCGCTTTAGCCTACAAAAGAGTTGATACATCATATATGATAGGACAAAACAAAATCTAGGAGGCCTAGCAACATCTCAGGAAAGATAACTACAATATAAAGATTATTAAAATCAATTACAGTAATCAATCAAGATACAATAGTTTGAGTACAACTAAGCAGATGATAAATTATCCTCCAAAACAACAAAAAATTAAACACAAAATGGAGAAGGAAAAAACCAAGAACGAAGCTTAGCTATCTAATCAATCTGCATATAATAAAAGGAAACTCCCTTGAAACAGCCACGAGCAAAGCATCAGATAAGAAGTCAAAAACACAACACAATCCAATACCAAATCAAATTTAAGGGCATTTCCCTCCAAACAAATACACCATAGGCATAAACGGCCCACTGCAATAAAATTTTGGCCTCCTTTCTCTACCAGAATCACTGAAACAAGCCAAGAGAAACGGTTCCAACATGGAGCAGACACACCCAATATTCATCCAAAACCCCAAACGTAGTATTATTCCAAAGGAAATTAACCAGCTTACAATGATACACCCAAGAATGCATTCTAGGTGACAAGACCAACTTCACATATTAATCAACTATACCAAGGGGGAAATACAAGTTTTTCATCTTATGATGGGGTAGGTGCATTCAACTTTAGAATTTAACTTGCATAAAACCATAAACATAACTGTGCTCTAATAATTTAAAAAAAATAAAAATAAATAGAGGAAAACAATAAAACACTCCAACCTTCCCTGAACTTTCCTCATATCAAAACCTTTCCTCCAGTTAAAAAGTTGCACAATCTTATTTGAAAAGGGGAGGTTAATGAAAGTAAAAGAAAATACACTTATCACTTCCGGTGAGAATGATGTCGTCAACATAGACTGCTTGAAATGTACTAAACAAATGCTGTTTTAACTGACGAATTCCGTCTTGATCACTTCCGGTGAGAATGATGTCGTCAACATAGACTAACAAATAGATACACTTATCAGGAGATGTAATCCTATAATACACAGAATGGTCAACTTTACTGCGGATTAAGCGAAACGCCTGAACAGCAGAATTGAAGCGACTGAACCATGCTCGAGGAGACTGCTTGAGACCATATAAGGATTTCTGAAGACGACACACCTTTCCAGACTCCCCCTGAGCAACAAAACCAGGTGGTTGCTCCATGTAAACTTCTTCTTGTAAATCACTATGAAGAAAGGCATTTTTGATGTCAAGTTGAAGGAGTGGCCAGTGACGAACAACAGCAAGGGCAAGAAAGAGGCGGACTGACGCCATCTTAGCGACCGGAGAAAATGTATCGCTATAATCAAGGCCAAAGATTTGAGTAAAACCCTTGGCAACTAAACGTGCCTTGAGACGATCAATATGGCCATCAGGTCCAACTTTCACAGTAAAAACCCAGCGACAACCAACTATAGACTTCTCTGGAGGAGCAGAAACAAGGTCCCAAGTGCCATTGGAATGAAGTGCAGTCATCTCATCAAGCATTGCTTGGCGCCACCCTGGATGGGAAAGTGCTTCACCTGTGGTCTTAGGAATAGAAATAGAAGAAAGACTAGAAACAAAGGTGAAATGAGGTGAAGAAAGACGGTCATAACTCAAAAAGGTATAAAGAGGATAAGGGTTACGAGTAGTACGTGTACCTTTTCTTTGAGCAATGGGAAGAGTCTCTGATGAAGGATCCGGAGGGGAAGAAGCAACAGCAGTGGGCGATGAGTCAGCAAGAGTCGAGTCGACAGGAGGCATAGTTTTGCGACGCTGATAGGTGAGAAGTGGACGGTCCTCAGGTATAGAAGCAATAGGTTGCTCATCTGGAATAGAAGCACCTGCAGCTGGCAAAGACAAGTCAAGAAAAGGGACAGGAAGTACATGATCAACCTGTGACATCTGAGATGGGATAGAATTAAAGGGTTGTTGATCAAGAAAAGTGACATCAGCGGAAACTAAGTAACGCTTAAGGTCGGGAGAATAACAACGATAACCCTTTTGAAGACGAGAATAACCAAGAAAGATACACTGAAAGGCTTTGGATGTTAACTTATCCTTACCAGGAGTGAGATCATGAACAAAACAAGTACAACCAAAGACATGTGGAGTTAGAGGATAAAGAGGAACATCTGGAAGCAATAGATTATGAGGAATGTCATTGTGGAGCACAGATGAAGGCATGCGATTGATGAGAAAACAAGAGATGAGTACAGCATCTGCCCAGAAGTGAAGAGGAACCTGCATATGAATAAGAAGGGTACGGGCAGTTTCAATGAGATGTCTGTTTTTACGTTCAGCCACCCCATTTTGTTGTGGAGTGTGAGGACAAGTAGTTTGATGTAAAGTACCTTGTGTGGCCAAGAAATTAGAAAAATCAATAGAAACATATTCCTTAGCATTATCACTACGTAGAATACGAATAGAAACACCAAATTGAGTATGGATCTCAGTAGAAAACTTTTTATAAATGTTAAATAACTCAGAACGATTTATTAAATAGGTCCAAGTGCAACGGGAAAAATCATCAATAAAGGTAACGAAATACCGAAAACCTAAGACAGACAAGGTACGACTTGGACCCCAGATATCTGAATGAACAAGAGAAAAAGGGGCATCAGCTCGTTTATTGACTCGACTGGCAAAAGAGGAGCGTGTATGCTTCCCTTGTTGACATGACACACAATCTAAAGACTGAAGACCGAACAAAAGAGGAACCATTTTCTGCAACTTTGAAAGACTTGGATGACCAAGGCGACTGTGGATAAGTTGTGGAGATTCTGTGAGAGAGCATGCTACTGAAGGACAAGGCACATCCAGATAATAAAGCCCCCGTGACTCACGACCCACTCCAATCATTTTCCCCGTACCCGGATCCTGCACAGAAACAGAATGGTTAGAGAAAGTAATGGTGCAAGTGAGGGAGTGGATCAACTTACTAATAGAAATTAAGTTATAAGGGATGCCAGGAATGTAATAGACAGATGTCAGGGCCAAGGTAGAGGTCGGACGAGCTTGTCCAATCCCACGAACTGGGGCTTTGGTTCCATCCGCAAGGGTAAAATACGGTAAATGATCAGAATAAGTAAGAGATGTAAAGAGTTCCTTATTACCACAGAGATGATCGGTAGCACCGGAGTCAAATATCCAAGTGCCAAGTGATGTAGAATGAGAAACACAAGCAACGGGATTACCAGCATAAGGCTCAGACTGAGGAGAAGCCTTCCTGAGAGGGGTTTGGAGTGCAGCACAGTCCGAACCTGAACCAAATGATGCTTTGTCTGACTGAGCTATATTTGCAACAATAGAAGGAGAGTTAACCTCCGAGAGATCAGGAGATGCTGCTGCCATTTAGAGATAAAATATAAAAGCCGTAAACGAAGGCAAACGATATCCAATCAAGAAGAACCACGCGTCTAAGGTCAGACCCACAGAGAAACAATCACAGATCCAGAAAGGGGAGGAGAAGGCGAGCTTCTCTGTCCAAGACCGGCCGGAAAAAGCCGCCGGAATAGTGCTCACGCGCCGGCAGAAGGTGGCGCGTGAAGCCCACGCGCAGTGAAGACAGGTGGCGCGTGACGGCGCGTGGGAGATGCGTTGCTGACCGGACCACCACAGACCTAGTCGCTGGGAAGAGAGGGTCCTGATCGCGTGAAGTTTGGTCGGAAAAGTCGCCGGAAAAAGTCTTTGGTTGCCTGAACAGTGATTCTGACGGCGGGCGGTGGTTCCGGTGGCCGTCGGAGGTGCTGACGCGTTTGGAAAAATCACTCAGAGGCTGTTTACAGCCCTAGAAGGCTTGCCAGAAGGACGCACGGCAAGAAAGAGGACTCCTAAGCAGTGGGCTTAGGTTTTTAAAGCAAAAAAAAAAAAAGGTTTCTGAGCGGAAGCGAGGGTTCCTAGAACGAAAGAGCTCTGATACCAAGTTAAATGTAAAAGAATACGTTGTGTATTGATCTGTGTCAGGGAGTTACAATATATAGAGACCCTAATGGGCTTAAGTGTAAGGCCCAAACCTAATCCAAACCTAATCCTAATACAGTCAGAATACAGTCAGACTATTTACGGATAAGACAGAATCCAATCATATCTAATCAAATCTAATCATATCATATCTAATATTCTAACAGAATATTACAAAAATGACTGCCTAGTGGGCGAGACTCCTACCATTGCAAGTCATATCACAGCACCCAGTCTCTTTCTGTCCAAACTCAACTTTCCTCAAGGTCATTAGATGGTACAAATTCATCAGCCACACAAGCAGAAATAAAGTCAATCTTTTTAGGAAAGAGTGGACCACATGATACTTGCTCAAATTCTTAGACGTTGTGTCACATAAGATGCCAATCACATTGATAGGAACCGGATTCAGATCGTACCAATCAGAACTCTAAACAACGGAATTTTATTGATATTCCTGACATCAAATTATATCAATGGTGTGTACAGCAGAAAAGATGAAAAAAACATATAGCGGGGGCATTCGAGAGGCCCTGTCTCTCCCAAGTTTCTACTCCAAAATAACTCCTGCCTATCTCTTTTTTCTCCCTCTTATAACAAATTCCTCATAACTATAGAATCAATCACAGTGGATCACCATAAATTAATCAATCGCCTATAATATTAATACTGAATTACCCATAATTAATTTAATCGACCACAATCAGTCATCATAATTGTTAGATATGATTAGATATGATTAGTCTGATTAGATATGATTAGTCTGTAATTATTCTGATTATATTTTGATTGTATTAGGTCTAGGCCTTTCCTATAAGCCCATTAGAGTCTCTATATATTGTAACTCTCTGAATTAGATCAATACACAACATATTATTTTATATTCAAGTTGGTATCAGAGCTCTTTGTTCTGGGAATTTTTCGCTTCCGCTAAAACCCTAAGCCCACTGCTTAGGCGTTCTCTCCTTCTTCTAACGCCGTGCGTCCCTCCGGCTTGGTTCTACAAAAAAAAAAAAAAAAGTACTGTTCACTGCGTCCGTACAGATTTACTGTTCATCGGGGCGTACGCTCTACTGTTCACATCGTCCGTAGGTCGGTACTGTTCACGAGTCCGAACAGTTGTAATGTTCATACGTCCCGTACGGTGGTACTGTTCACTGGTCCGTACAATGTTACCGTGTGCACGTCCGTACGGCGGCACTGTTCACACAAAAAAAAAAAAAGAACTGCTCGCCTTCCTCTCCTATTTTCAGATCTGGTCATCTCCTTTATTTTATTTTGTGATGGAGGGCTCAAGTAATGCATCCAAAAAAATAACTGGCATCATCTCCAGTACTACCCCATCTCCATTCTTTTCTCGGGCCAGTGATTCCAATTGGAACAGTGGACGCGGTCGCGGACGTGGCCGCAGACAGAGGCCTCGTTGCAATTATTGCCAAAATCTTGGGCATTTTGAAGAACGCTGCTATAGGAAGTACCCTCATTTGAAGCCACCGACTGCCAACTTTGCTCAAACTGATGCTACACCACCTTCTACTGGATTAGTAACTCTTTCAAGTGCCGACTATGAGGCACTTCTCAAGAAGATTTCTTCTCAGCATCCTACTCAAGACACTGGTAATCATGTTGCTTGTTTTTATCAATCATCTCTTGGACCCTGGATAATAGACTCAGGTGCTACTCATCATCTTTGTGGTAATAAAGATCTCTTCACTTCACTTTCTTATTCTAATAACCTACCCTCTGTCACTCTTGCTGATGGCACTAAGGCTCTTGCTCGTGGAATTGGAGAAGCCAACTCAACTCCCTTTTTAACTTGAGTTTTGTTTATTATATACCTGGCATTCCTTTTAATTTAATCTCTGTTAGCCAGTTGATTCATTCTCTTTCATGTACTGTTACCTTCTCTAAACAATCCTTTTCTATGCAGGATTCGGGTACGGGGAAGACGATTGGAGCGGGCATTGAGTCACGAGGTCTCTACTATCTGATTGCACCACCTTCTCCAGTAGCCTGTTCTCTCACAGAGTCTCTTGAGCTAATTCACAGCCGTCTGGGTCATCCAAGCCTCTCCAAGCTTCAGCATATGGTTCCTTTTTTATCCAATCTTAAGTCTTTAAACTGTCATTCTTGTCAGCAAGGAAAGCACACTCGCTCCTCCTTTGCTAATAGAGTCAATAAAAGAGCTAATGCTCCTTTTTCTATTGTTCATTCTGATATTTGGGGTCCGAGTCGAACAATGTCTGTTTTGGGTTTTCAGTATTTTGTCACCTTTATTGATGATTTCTCTCGTTGCACTTGGGTTTATTTAATGAAAAATTGTTCTGAATTATTTTCAATTTATCAAAAAATTTGTGCCGAGATAAATACTCAATTTGGTGCTTCTATTCAAATTTTGCGAAGTGATAATGCAAAAGAATATGTGTCTCTTGAGTTTTCTAATTTTTTGGAGAAACGTGGGACGTTACACCAGACCACTTGTCCACACACTCCACAACAAAATGGAGTTTTCTAATTCATATGAATGTTCCACTTCGTTTTTGGGCAGATGCTATAATCACCTCTTGCTTTCTCATCAATCGCATGCCCTTTTCCGTACTACATAATGAAGTTCCACAGTGTTTTATTTCCGGGAGCACCTTCCTATCCTCTACCTCCACATGTATTTGGATGTATCTGCTTTGTTCATGATCTTACTCCAGGAAAAGATAAATTAACATCCATCAAGTGTATTTTCCTTGGATATACTCGTTTTCAAAAGGGGTATCGTTGCTACTCTCCTGATCTCAAGCGTTATATTGTCTCGGCTGATGTCAATTTCCTTGATCAACAACCTTTTCATTCTATCCCATCTCAGATAACACAAGTTGATCAAGTTCTTCCTGTTCCTTTTCTTGATTTGTCTTTACCAGTTGCAGGAGACTCTATCCCGGAGGAGCAGCCCATTGCCTCCATCCCTGAAGACCGTCCTTTTCTCACCTATCAGCGTCGTCAGACTGCGCCTCCAGCGGATTTGAACCTTATTGACTCATCGCCTGCTACTGTCGACTCTTCCCTTCCAGATCCTCCATCAGAAATTACTCCCATTGCCCTTCGCAAAGGTATTCGATCCACTCGCAACCCTCATCCACTTTATAGTTTCTTGAGTTATGATAGACTTTCTTCACCACATTTTACTTTTGTTTCTAGTATTTCGTCTGTTTCTATTCCTAAAACCACAGGTGAAGCACTATTTCATCCGGGTTGGCGTCGGCGATGATTGATGAAATGCAAGCACTTCACTCCAATGGCACCTGGGATCTTGTTCCTGCTCCTCCCGGAAAGTCAGTAGTCGGCTGTCGATGGGTATTCACTGTCAAAGTTGGTCCTGATGGCACTGTTGATCGCCCCAAAGCTCGTTTGGTGGCCAAAGGTTACACTCAGATATTTGGTCTTGACTATGGGGATACTTTTTCTCCTGTTGCCAAGATGGCATCCGTCCGCCTATTTCTTGCCCTTGCTGCTGTTCGTCACTGGCCACTCCTTCAACTTGACATCAAAAATGCCTTCCTTCATGGTGATTTGCAAGAAGAAGTTTACATGGAGCAACCACCTGGTTTTGTTGCTCAGGGGAAGTCTGGACAAGTGTGTCGTCTTCAAAAATCCTTATATGGTCTCAAGCAGTCTCCTCGAGCATGGTTCAGTCGCTTCAGTTCTGCCGTTCAGGCGTTTGGCTTAATCCGCAGTAAAGTTGATCATTCTGTATTTTATAGGATTACATCTCCTGACAAGTGCATCTATTTGTTAGTCTATGTTGATGACATCATTCTCACCGGAAGTGATCAAGACGGAATTCGTCAGTTAAAACAGCATTTATTCAGTGCATTTCAAACAAAGGACCTTGGGAAGCTGCGTTACTTCTTGGGAATTAAGGTGGCGCAATCTAGACAGGGCATTTCTATTTGTCAAAGGAAGTATGCCTTGGATATCCTCGAAGAAACTAGTATGTTGGGGAGTAAACCAGTTGATACACCCATGGATCCTAATGTCAAGTTATTGCCCGGACAGGGGGAGCCGTTATCTGATCCTGGACGTTATCAGAGGCTAGTTAGGAGGCTCAATTATCTTACTGTGACTAGGCCAGATATTTCTTTCGCTGTTAGTACGGCTAGTCAGTTCCTTGATTCCCCTTGTGATTCACATTGGGATGCTGCTGTGAGGATCCTCCGATACATCAAAGGAGCACCAGGAAAAGGTTTGTTGTATTCAGATCAGGGAAATACAGAAATTTGTGGTTATTCAAATGCTGATTGGGCAGGATCACCCTCGGACAGGCGCTCTACTTCCGGCTATTGTGTCTTCTTTGGAGGAAACTTAATTTCGTGAAACAGCAAGAAACAACCTGTAGTTGCTCGGTCTAGTGCAGAAGCTGAGTATCGTGCAATGGCAAATACTACCTGTGAGTTAATCTGGTTAAAGCAGTTGATTCAGGAACTTTATCTTTGTGAACAGAAACAACCCATGACACTCTTCTGTGATAATCAAGCTGCGCTACATATATCCTCTAATCATGTCTTTCATGAGAGGACCAAACATATAGAGATTGATTGTCACTTCATTCGAGAAAAGATTCAATCAGGAGAAATCAAGACTGCTTTCGTCAACTCCTCTGATCAACTCGCGGATGTCTTCACTAAAACTCTAGGTCCTCGAGTTCAATCCATTTGTAACAAGCTTGGTGCTCACAATATATACGCACCAGCTTGAGGGGGAGTGTTAGATATGATTAGTCTGATTAGATATGATTAGATATGATTAGTCTGTAATTATTCTGATTATATTTTGATTGTATTAGGTCTGGGCCTTTCCTATAAGCCCATTAGAGTCTCTATATATTGTAACTCTCTGAATTAGATCAATACACAACATATTATTTTATATTCAAGTATAATTTCAGTATTAATCACTATAATTACCTATAGTGATCAATACTGAATTACCCATAATGGGATCAATCACCACAATTTCAGTATGGTGATTAATACAGAAATACCCATAATTAATTAGATCACCTGTGGCCCTTTCTAGAGTAAACTTTAATAATAGGTCTCAGCATTTCAATGACTCATGATGTTTGTGTAAATGAATAAGAAAATAGGCCAAGCACAACCCACCTTTTTGTATAATGCATAATTAATAAAGAAGCCATGCATGTAGGCTCTAAGTAGATTGGTGCCAATCAGGTTGGTCAAATTTAACCTCTCAAGCTCCTCCTTAGTCAAAAATTTGTAATGATCGTAAATAGTTGTTTGTCCACCCATGTCTAGCTCTTCCTGTAAAAGTATTTTTAATGTCAAAAACAGAGATACCGAGACTAGCTAATCTAATAATCAATCAAAACACTAAGAACATACCGTGAAATTTTCTAGAGAAGAACACCACTTGGGAGCAGGTCCAAGGGATGGTATGAAGTAAGATGGTATTTGGCTACAGTCCAAGGCCAGCAAGATCAAACCACTCCCTGGAAATGTACACACATCATTTATTGTTCCTGCTGACGGTTCAATGCTGGCCACGCCTTCTCCCTGAAAATATATTATAATCTATCACGTGACAACCCATGTTGATGAACACACAATGTGAACGCAGTTATTACCTAAAACGGTTAGGAAAGCATACCAAGCTCATCTAAACATAACATGCATGTGTACAATTTAGTTGAGGTATTGCGAAAATATTATTTATTTATTCTGTAGTCAGAAGACAATATTAAGGTAACGGGTTGAATATGACTATAAATTTAAAACAAACAATTTGCGCATTTAAAACTTCTGTATTACTTTAACTGATTACTGCTTAGCAAATTTTGCCTGACAAGCACACATTAAGATCATTTTTTATAGGCTGTTGTGCTTTAACAAATATCCCCAAAATATAGAATGTTGTAGATATCCCAACATGTCAGAATTGGATTCTTGAAATCAATCATGTCATTCAACATTATTGATGTTTCTTTGTCCTTACTAAAGGCTGCTCAATGGCAAAACTAATAAGAACAGACACTTCACAAGCTTAAATTCAATGAATGAAATAATCAAGCCCAAGGTCTAGAGATCAATTTGGAGATAACGTTGAACTGGTAATCAAAAAATATGAGAACAGGAATCAATTCATATACCGTTTCAGGATCCCATATCCTGACAACATGACTATCACTGGTAATCAACATTGGTTGTTCATAGTTAAGAGTACGATGCCACTTAATATCCAATATGGAACTGCCATACCTGTAAGACAATTTTTAAGCAACCATTAATTACAAAATATATATTCTCAATACAAACATAAGTTTCTAGAATAAGGATGTCAACTTACATGTGATCCTGTATTCGTATTGGATGTGATGAGCGCAGGTCATAGATGAGAACCTGCGTATGCAATATTAAAGGTAAAAAATATCCATGTTCAAGGGGAAAATATATATATGTGGAGACGTAGTTTAGCAAGTAAAATTGTGTTCCCACAACGACAAGAATTTTTTTCCTGACAAAAGTACTAAAGATTAGCCTTAATGCATTATAAATAACAATAGAAAAAACACACCAAACTAGACCATCCTCTATGCTGCTACAAGATGTTTGTCCTGTACTCCTGTCCCCATTTAGTGTTTACTATATAAATCAGCCATGTCTACCAAGAGGCCTAATCATTTGCATGAAGTATAATGTATATTATAGAATTCATTGTTAGAGATATAAAACCATTAATGGAACTCCACTTAACAGCTTTAGCTTTTTGGAGAGTTAGCCATTAACACCACCCATCTTATGCAATACGCATATCTTGTCTTAATAGTAGACATCCTCACATCCATACATGCAATACAGCAATCCGATGAAGACAAGGTTTCCTTAAAACCTAATATGACAATGGATTTTTCAGCTTACTCACGAAGACGACAATCCCAATGCTACAAAATATGCTCCAAACTATCCCAATAAGGACACGAATATTATGATTTCACAGGTAACTAAACTAAATTAGTATCATACCTTTCCCGCACTACTTCCAACAGCCATTAAGAGACCCCCATCTCCATCAAACTCCAATGCAGTGACCTCCTAAAAATATAGAATGGTTAAGAATAAAGATGTTAACTACAGAACAAAATTTACAAAGAAATCTATACCCTCAGTTATGACATGGAAAGAGGGGAAAGGATAAATGTTTCCCACCCATTTGAAACTTGTAAAAGTAAATAAATGGGCAGCAGGTCACATATGAGATTGTGATCCATGATATTACGCTTATAACAACAATTTCAGCACAACCAATATAAAAAATCATCTTACCATATCCTTACAATATTCTAATGCCTTGAAATCGGCTACTGTTAAAGAGAAGAAACGCTACCTGGTCAACATCGCCACTTGGCCCGACAGCATCAATTCTACCAACTGAAGATCTCATACGCATGTCAAAGCATTCCACAGCACCATCTTCACCACCACATGCAACTAGTCCATGAAGCTTGCTAAAATTCAGATCAGACTTAAGTTCCACTTTTAATACAACGTACAAAACAAAACATATAAAGCTCTTATAAATTAAGAAAATAAAGCATGGTAAATCAGTACTCTAAGTCCCACTTATTACCTTCGAGAAACTACATTCAACGCAGGGGATTGTGTGTTTAGGGAGGAAAGAAATCGCCCCTGACAAGTCAAAGAAAAGCAGATATATAACTCTGACATGAAAAATCAAATGTTTCTTTTTTTAAAGAGATATACAAATTACAAGACAAAGATAAGGAGATGTTACACCAGATATGAGATATCAAGACCCAATCAAACAAGGCTTTGTAAAGGTTCATTCCAAATGACCAATATAAATCATTAAAAGATAACTTAAACCCTGAGTTAGATTTCAAGGATAATTATACAATAGTTTTCCAATTTCAGAATTTCTTTTTCCAAAATTAAACCAATTTGAACAGGTATCTATGCTACCAATGATGCTTTCAAAACAGCAAGTTATACTCTAAACACCTGCTCTAAGTTAATTCTGTACAGATCCGGGGAAGAGGCAGCACAAAGCAAGTCACAAGACCAGCAGTCATAAGTAATATCCCTTCCCATCCTGTCAAATGAGAACATAAAGGTATGTTATCATACTCGCAAAAGTTGATTAAAAGAAGTTTGAAATACTATTAAGGCTTGGTAAAGTAGCATGCATGTCTATCCAGAGAGTCAACTGCAGCTCCTCACATAAAGAAACTGGAATATGTGAAGAAATGCATTGACAAGTCTTACAAGGGAAAATCTTTTAAATATCTGTGCTATCAACTTAATTTTGAAGAATCTTTCAAGTAAAGCAACTTAGCCAAGAGCTAACCTAGTAACAGAGTTTCCAACCCATAACCAAGTAGTGAAGAACATCATAATCGAAATCATAATATGATGGGGAAAATTGAGAAGGAATCTGATATCTTCTCTACTTCGCTGATCATAACTAAATCATCAAAGTAGCTACTGCAGAACAAACATACTCTTGGCAATAATATGTAGTTGAATAGCATTAGTATTTGAATAAGTATCAACGGATCTCATTAGTATTTGAAATTTGAATAGCATGTAGTTTCACCTTAGTATTAAATCTGGAAATTCTTATTAATTTTAAAGGCTTCTACCTAATTTAATTTTATCGGGAAGCCTCTAAAACCAAATTAATAGGGCAAAATGGACTAGTTTTGAGTTGAAAACTTGCAGTAAGGTATCTAACATGCCAATATATATGAGGCTGGAAAGTTTGGGGTTTTTTTCTAGAACAGAACTGAATTAAAAGCGGAGAGAAGCTGTAATAATGAGATGGTGTAAAATAGAAATCTGTTCTAATTTTCATAAAGGAGGTTCCCTTTTATACAAGATTTAGTAAATGGTAAATGAGAGTTAATAACCTTCACAAGGCTTCTATTGAGCTATATAGATTAAGCTCACTAAACACAAATCAAAACATTTTTAAACCAGGTCAAGAACTAGTAAGAATTCAACCCCATTTTCACCAATATGAGAACGTGTGATTAAAAGAGGTTGTTATTCTTGCTTAAGATAGAAGCAAATAAAGGAACTAAGAATGAGTAGGTTAATACCAGTGGAAATAAGAGAATCAATAACAAGCTCATTAAACCCTTTAGTCTAACACGACCAACCTCAGATTACAAACAATCTAGAATCTGTTACGGCCCTGGACTTTTATAACCAAATCTCTTCTTCAAGCAACAAAAAGAATCGAAGAGGGGAATGAATTACAGAGAACAGAAACAGAATTTTTATTGAGTTCTGAATACTTGTTAGAAGAGGACTTCCTCTTTCCAAGGGTACTTTTCCTTCTTGAGAATCTCTCAGCTAAGTTTTTCCTACAGTAATTGTTCCCCCAAAATATATTCTTCCCCTTTTTATACCAAAGTTCTCTCCTTACTAACAAACTGATACAAACAGGCCCCACCACTAACTAACAGATACAAAAATACTTTCCTAGCTAACTGTTTTTGGCCTTCTAGAATACAACCTCCATGTCTTCAGTTGCCTAATATCCTTGTCTGTAACAGAATCTCTATGGTAATTGACTTTAATATTAATACTATCAAAACCGTGGATTAATAGAATATAGGAAACTCAGAAGTTACACAAAACACATTCATATGATAAAAAAAAATTTTGACATAAGTCAGACTTTATACTACAAGAGTAATATACGTAAAGCCTAAAGAAGAAACCTTGGTATTCGCAAACTGTAGTGCTTTCCATATTTTGCATGTAGACAAACAGAGCGGTCAGCACATAAAAATGCAAGTTTTGAATAGTCATCGGTTAAAACCTACACCAGCAAAAAAAAAATCAATTATCGAATTAAAAGATTAAGAAAATATGTAGCTAAACTCAACCAACTAATCCCTTTGTAAATATAGCTTATAATTCATGGGAAAAAATTAAATATATATATATAGTTAAAAAGCAAAACTATTGGAATATAATTTTACTTGACATATGAAAACTGCATGTATGTATGTGATATGTCTGCCTACTAATTAAAAACAAGAGATGGCATAAAAATCACACCATACAAACTTTGTATAGCACATGGGGAACTGTAGTTATTAAAAACAACTATATAGAAGAATCCTTATGGACTCAGGCCTGACATACATGAAGTCATATAAGAAGTATAGAGTGCAGGCAAATAACAAATTTTATGAAATTGATATTGGAAATTTTCTAAAAAATCATATGAATGAGTTTCCTTAATTTATTTGTACAAGTAAATTGTCTCCAAAGAGGCAAAAGTAAAAACAATTTGCCCATGGACAGTTGATCTTCTTGCTTAAGTTCATCTTATCTCAGGAAGGACTTTTAAACTGTAGTTTAGCATAATTGAACAAAAGAATCAGAGATTGCATACTTCGTAGAACTAAAAATCTAAACATCTATTGGAAAGCTTTCATCTGACAAAGTGATTCAAATATGGTGTTTGAAATGAAAAATCAGAACGATTCTTATGCAACAACCCGCTTTTATATCACTTAGCTTTCTGCAAGAAATTAGTATTATAAATCAACAGAGATAGATCAAAATATTCCCCTTACTCCTACCCTTCACAAAAACAAAACAACACCCAAAGAAATAAACAGAACAAAACTTACAGCCTTGAGGGAAAGAAACTAAACAAGAAAACAATGATTAGAATTCCTAAATCTTAATACCAAACCTTGTCAATAGACTGTCAAAAAAAGGGTGCAATGAAGATAATAAGAGGGAGAAATGACTGCTTTGTTTTATAATCTGAGAAAACAATAGGCAATTCAAAAAGTCCAAGCACAAAAACATTATCAACCTTCATAGCTCACTGTAATCTAGTCAAAGAAAAAAACCGAGGCAGAAGAGAGATATTTATTGATGAGAGACAGAAAGCGGAAAGGTTGCCATCAACATTCAACTGAAAAGCAATAGTGGCAGCAATTATTCAGAGATGGTAGTAATTGGATCTGTAGAAAACCAACTTATATATACACTAATTCAAAACCTAAGGTAGAAAGGCAGGTGGATTTTGACACAGACAAGTCATCACTCACTGTCTCTCAAACGTAATGGTAAACGGAATATACAACTCCAAATTTTATGACTTAACATCACATTCACCTCAGATAAAAACACAGCTTAAAACACATAAATGGAGAATCAATGATTAGAGCCACAGGAATCACGCTATAAACTTTTCTTTTTTTTTTCTTTTTTTTTTCAATTAGAGTTAGTTTCAGTACCTGAAAATCAATGATCTCTGAATCCAAGTGCCTTTCGAACTTCAATCCTAGCTCCCTGACCTCGTACACTTTTACTTGCGGCGGATATATACCTTCAATTTTGAAACCAACATGAATCATTCAAATTAATATCAATCATTCCTTGCCACATTTTCTATATTTTTTATCAAAAGCTTAACAAATGCATCTCATTGGCAGACAAATCCCTCCTACCTTTATCATCGCACTGACTCATCATTTATTTTCACTCGCCTAGCTACAAATTCTAACTGTCAAAAACGTTTCTCAAGGCCCAAGATCTAATAAAGCCAAAATTCTAATAACCCTACCAGCAATTCAGTTCTCGTTTAGAAAGTCCTTGCTTTTTGCAGAAACCTAATTCGGACTCAACATATTGTTTATGACTTGTTTAACAGGTAACTAACTAGGCATGTTAATTATTTTAACAAAATGTTAATACTTAATGTAATGCTCTCTAAGTGGTGAAGAATCAAAACTCTCTCTCTCTCTCTCTCTCACACACACACACACACACATATATATATAATTTGAAGTACCTACCTGATGCTATGATATACTCGCCATCAGGAGTTGCCTTAATCTTGGTTGTGGCGGTTGCGAACCTCAAGTCTTCGAGCAGTTGCAGATTTTGCGTGTAACCTAACAAACAAACAAATGAATATGAATGAATGAATGAATAAATAAATAAGAGAAAAGGAAGAAGGAGGATATAAAGGAGGTGAGGTACTTTTGATGTTGCGATGAGAATTCTGCTTCTTAGTGGGGAGCCAGGAAGCGAGTGAGGGTTGTTGTGATGCAATCGTATACATCTTCACACCGTTTATCGATGTTGACTTGATACCGCCATCAAGAGTCGCCATTGTTGCTTCTTTAGACAGAGAGAGAGAGAGAGAGAAAAACAGTCAAGTTTGAAGAGAAGAGTGTTTTCGTTTTGCCCTTGCCGCCACTTCCACTTTGCCGATAACAGAGGATACCTAAGAGACGACAATACTTTTATTTAAGAAACAGCGGAAAGTTACCCAGACAGAAACAGACACAGAAAATTTAAATTTTAAATTAAAAAAAATTACCTATTTTCTTTCTCCCATGATTTTCATTTTTTCTGTGTCTATTTCTTTTCTAAAATGACATAACTTATATTATTTAAAATGATAAATATCATACCCTTAAAATATATATACATAGTTAACATTTTTCAGGGAAATTTTATCTCCATTTTTTTAGGCCATTTTATAAACTTATCTCAAGTTAAATCCTTTTAATTATGTAGTATATAATTATAAAGTTAATTTTTTTTTTCTTCTCTTTCATTTTTTCAGAATTTATCTACTGATATAAAAAAAAATTTAACATTATAATTATAGAATTTTAAATAACATAAAGTTATGTTATTTTAAGAGAAAGATAGACACAAAATAATTTTTTATTTAAAATTTAGATTAAAAAAACCATTCACTTTCTCTCTTCCGTTATTTTCATTTTTTGTGTCTATTTCTCTATTAAAATGACATAACTTATATCATTTAAAATGACAAACATTAAACCCTATAATTATATACAATTTATAATACATAATTAAAAGAGATTGAAATAAACTTATCTTAATTGGTCAAAGAATATTTTTTGAAGGGAACGAATTCACTCACCACAAAAAAAGTTTACCACTCCTACAATTAATTTAATCATCGTTGATTTCTGTTAATCTAACGATTATAATTTATTAGAAATTAATAATATTTATTGTGGCACATTTATTAATTAATTATTAATTCTTAATAAATTATAATCATTAGATTGACGAAAATCAACGATGATTAAAATGATTTTAAGAGCAGTTATAATAACCCTCACTAGTAATTGGGGATTTAATATTGAAGAATAATTAGAAGTAAAAGAAATAAAGTCACCCTTAGTGAAAAATGAGTTAAAATGACAGTTAAGGGATAAAAATAAGGGTAAACAAAGTTACCCGAAAAGTGAAAGTAAAGTTAAAAATATGACTAGAAAAAATATTCTAGTCCATTAGGTAAAGTTTGGTAATAAATAGAGGGTGTAGATAGATAAACCTTTATCCAGTTAAAGTAACTTAAATTTTACACACCGTGAAATCCTTATTTCTCCTTCTTTCTGCGCGCTGTTTCCTTTCTTTTCCGTCTCTCTCACTGATGCTCGACGCTTCCATGGAGAAAGGGACCTAGGTTAGTTTTTTTTATTTCCTCTCATTTCCACTCAAATTCTCACCAAAAGCCATGATGCCATACATGAATCTTTAAGGAAAAAGGCTAGTGAATCCATTCCACCACTCCATTTGGTCTGATTTGGCTTGTGGAGAGAGTTATTCATCAAACTCAATTCGTGACACTATTCATGCTTGTAGAAAAGTGGTGCTTTTGAGTGATCAAAGCTTGGGGTTTGTTCTTTAGAGCTTGGAATAGCTACTATAGGTGAGAAACCTCTAATCCTATAGTTTTATTTTTGTGATTTATGTCTGGGAATTTATGAGCATGTTTTAAGTGAGATATAAATTAGTTTAAAATTTGAATTGATGATGGATTGTTGATGTGTTGGATGTAGGAAGGTGGAATAAGCATGTGAACATGTATAAAATTGGGGGGAAAATCCCATGGTGAGATGCCCTAGATTTCGGCCTTGATAGGGTAATTAGGGGATGATGTACAAAATTTATTGTATGTATTGGGAAGGTTTAATATGTTGGAATAAGTGAAAATTTGTTGCATTAGTGAGAATGCCAAAGTGGGAAAAAATCCTATGTAGTATGCTCCTATGTTTCGACCTTGATGTATATTGGAGGAGTTTAATGTTTAAAATTTAATTAGACATTGTGGATATGTATATATATAAATATGTACATGTGTGTGTAAGTTACTAACTAAGTGAAGAAAGAATAAGTAAAAAAGAAAAGAACCCTTTTGCCTATTGTCATTGTGGAATTCGACCTATAGGGTGGTTTAGGGATATATTTTGTACATTTTATTTTAAATAAAATGTGTTGTAATAAATTGTATAAAAGTGATGAGTTTTGAAGAAAAATAGCATGATTTATGTTGAAAATTCCTAAGAGAATAGGTGATTAAATTAAAGAACACCAACGGTTATAAAGAGGTCTAGACTTGTGTATTGGCATAGGATTGGCAAAAACGCAAAGAAATGAAAAGAAGCGATAAAATGTATGCCTTATGTGAAAACTAGGCATGATGGCATTTTATTAATTGGTATTTGTGGATTATTGCTCTAGGTGTACCTAGGGACTAAAAAGGAATCAGAATCTCTTGAAGATATATAAGTAACTTGTGCAACAAGTAAGGGTATTGGTAAAGCTTCAAGAGGTAAGCTCTATGTTTAAGGAGTCTTTTCCTGCTTGAGTGCTCCACCATGGTTAGTGACCTATGGTTGGACTGTATGACTGTGATTTAGATGCTTTGTATAGATGCATTCATATAGAGTTATTTGATAACATGATATGTTTTGCTCTGATATGACTTCTGTAATATGATTTCTGTAACAATCTCTGGACATTGATTGTATAGTACCCAGATGTCCGCTTTGGGGTCCTCCCTCGGGACTGATGGTGTACGCCTCTGATATGTCTGGTTCCGCTTTGGGGTCCTCCCTCGGGAACACGTGCGTTGATTTCCGCTTGGGGTCCTCCCTTGGGAATGAAGGCGCACATCTCTGATATGATATGGATATATGCTCTGTTCTGTTATGATATCTGTTATATGTTGTATTTGTATACTCTGTATCTGACTTTCATGCAAGAGTGAGCCAGGGGTATGGAGAATTCTCTATAAACCTGGAGCTTATTGAGATTTGTAATCTCACCCCTCGTTGGGGACATATTTTCAGGTGCCCAGATTCCCGGTGAGTCCTCACTAGGCAGGGACGCGACACGTGGCTGAGGCAGTTGACGGATCGGATTTTGAGTGGTCGTAGGCTACTACTTTTTTGAAGTATATTAATGTCATTTTGTATTTCTGCCTTTGATGGATCATGACATTGATCCTTTATTTTGTATATGGCCTGTATATGTTTTGTACATGTATGTCAGTTTGATGCATGTACATTTGAGTATTCAGGAACGTTATATGATGATGTAGTATTCAGATAGGTTTACGTTTTAATGGCATGCTGTTAGATATAGTGGCACAGAGCCATGTTATGCATGCACCCATGTATGGGTATTTGATTATATTTGGATATCTGGTATTTCTGAATTGATATGTTGTATAAACTGTTTATCAGGAAATGCTTCTGAGTGGGATTGGAAAATCCCCAGTTGTCCGATTTATAGAGGAAACTCTGTCCGATTTTCGTTTACGCCGAGTAAGAATTAAGTTAGAAAAAGAAAAAGTTAGCTCATATTTTCGTAAGTTAAGTCTTATGTTGTTTCTGTTTATATCATGTGTATGTTAATTGAACCGCCTCGAGACTGGGATGTTACATTTATGGTATCAGAGCAGTTTCTCTAGGAGAGCCTGTGAAATAATGCATAAACTGTTCGGGTTATGATCTTCTTGAGTTTCTCTTGGAGTCCTATGATATGCATGTCTGATCACTGAGTGTGAGCGTAGCTAACTCATTCCTTTGTGTAAAATGTGCAGAATTATGGTTCGTCCAAGAAGGACTCTTGATCCTCCTATTGACCCGACAGATCCTATTCTAGCAAATTTGGCGAGACCCCGAATAAATCAGCGGGGAAATACTTCACAGCCAGATCCAATGATAACGGCCTTAACTGAGATGCAACAAAATATGGCTGCAGCTAGGCAGCGAGAGCTGGAAGTGATGATGAAAGCAAATCAAGACCTGTTAGAGGCTAATAGGTTGGTCAATCAAGAAATGATGGCAGCAAGCAGAATGGCGAATATTGAAATGATGAGATTACTCTTGGTGGAGGTGAGGGCTGGTGGGCAAGGTCCACAGCCACAGCCTTTGCAACAGCCACAGCCTGAGCCACAACCACAACAGCCTGTTCCTCCTCCTCATAATCCCATTGTTGTGGAGGGTGAAGGAAATAATGACATGAATGGAGAATCTAGTCACAGGGGTGGTGTGGCACAGCCAGCCACTAATAGAGAGCAAAGAGAAAGAATGCTTAATGCCTTCCGAAAACATGCACCACCAAATTACAAAGGAGGCATTGATCCGATTGCCGCAATTCAGTGGTTAGAGGAATTGGATTGCATTTTTACTGTCATGGAGTGTGATGATCAGCAGAGATTGTTGTATGCTTCTTATATACTGCAGAATGATGCAGCCGATTGGTGGAGAAATACCCGTCAGCCCTTGGAATGTCAGGGTCATGCTATTACCCGACCTTTATTTGAAAGGCAATTCTTGCTAAAATACTTTCCGGCTGAAGCCCGGATAAGGAAGAAGGGTGAATTTGAAGAACTATAGCTGGGCCAGATGTCTATTGATGAATATTTGAATAAGTTTAATAAGCTGGCCAAATACTCTCATTTCCAGAGAGCTCCACCTACTGAGGATGATCTGGTGTTTAAATTTCATAGAGGACTACATGATAACATTTCTAAAAAACTTGCAGGACACACTTTTGATACTTTTGCTGCACTCGTTAAAAAGTGTAAAAACATTGAAGAGTACTATAGAAGGAAGCATAAGGACCAATCTGCTCCTAATTCGGGTCCTAAAAACACTTCTGGGAATTCTAAAGGAAAAGGGTTGCAGGTTAGACAGTCTGATGGTAAGTTCAAAAAGGCGGGAAATTCTAAGCCTGGAAATTTTAAATCTGCTCCTCAATGCTCTATATGTGGAAAAGCCCATTCTGGGGTTTGCAGGAGAGAACAAAGACTGTGTTATAAGTGTGGCCAACCTGGGCATTTTATTAGGGACTGTCCCTTTAATGGGGGACAGGTTTCTACTATTCAGGCTACTCCGGCTCCTATTGTGGTTGAGG